GTTTCAAAAATTCACTAAGAACTTATGCAAAACTAAGAAAAACGCTTGGTAAGCGAGCATAATACGAATCAGAGGGAAATCTAGGTCAGCATAACAATAACACATGAGTGAGAAAGATCTAAAACCCTAATTAGGATTCATAATATCGCAGGAATTCAAACACAACTATTGTAGACTGAGGATTCTATTGAGAGAAAAAAATGGACAAAATAGTGTAGTGTACCTTCGACAGCATTAAACGTCAAGTGATTTGAAAATTTCTTAAACACTACGGAGTGCAGTGTCGCAAACCTTTATCAGTCTCAGATGACAGTAAGACAACATTGTCTACTATCACGGATGTTCTTGTTGACTGTGGTGGACTAGATCAAGTGACAGACCACGGGAAGTAAGAAGACAGGATTACGCTGGAACAAAGAGAAGAATGAAGAAGATCTGATCTTTGTGCATGGTTTATGCCCAAGGTCACACAGACTAGAAAATCTACAGTCGGAAAAAACCAACAAGTCGGCAGGAAAGGCAGGTGGGCAAGACAGGACTTCAAGTGAACAGAGAAGACAGAGGTACCCAACTAACCGCAACAAGCATTAATTGCCATCAACGGGAGAAATCTGAAAGATATCACATCTTTCATTAATCAAGATAGCATCATTTCAGCTATGCGAGGCACGGATGATGTCAAAACCAGGATCAGGAAGACTACACAGACCTTCATTCATCTGAAATCGGTGTGGAAATCAACTGTACTAAGCATAAAGAACAAGATTCGGATTTTCAACACTGCTGAAACCACCAGGAACTTAGTGGAATAATGATAATAATACCAAATAGATCGTAGTGAGTTTGAAGTCAAGTAAATGTGCCAAAACTGTCAACCAGCAATCAGGAAATATTGAACACAATAGAATACGTGCGTCAGCGGGTTCGATTTCTGACCGACGCACTAATAAACCTCACTTAATTTACTATGGGCATCAATAAGCCAGAGAAACAGGATAGGTCTGGAGTGAGAACAACATCACCACCACCACTGAAATTTCAAACCTTACGACTTGGAGTCCCTACATTCCCCTCGGAATGCAAAGGGGCAAAAAAAAAGAAGACAAGAGGATACAAAGATTCATAACGTATGCAAATAATCCCTTTTCGTACAATCTCTGTTTATTTATTTGAAATGAAACACTGTGATATCGCAGGATATATTTTTGTGATATAGTTTATTTCATACATTTGGTTCCGTTGATTAATTTCGATAGAGAAAGAAAGACCAGATTTGCAGTACAAAATGATATCATTCTATTCCACAGGTTCTCATCAGCTGCAAACTATCTGAAATTACAGTGCTTATAATTAATGACAATAACATACTTCAATACTTGAAAGGTAATAGTGAAAACACTATAAGATGAACGCATCCGGAATATAAGTATTACAATTTATAGTTTAAGTTACCATCAATTTATATACTATCAAACTAGAGAAGAGAGAAAACAGAAAAATCTAATAAACAGTGTTAGCTTGTACGTCTACGTAACAACTCAAGGGGGTTAAAGTCCATCAAATTGAAAACTTGCCTAGTGAGCTGAGCTCACTAATGTGTATGACTAATCAGTGTAATGAAAGTAATACGGCCTCCAAGCTAAGTGAGAGATTAATCACACTCTCTTTCTGTGTGCATAAGTTTGATCTGAGACGTTTGATTGCTGTAATTGCTTCAGCAAATCGTAGTAGATTCGCTGTCCTTTGTATGTTTTATATTTTGAAGGATTTGGAAATCTCTACAAAATGACCCATATCCACAAGATGTCTGGGCATTGTACTTTAACCTTCTTGAGTTGCCATTTTGACGTACAAGCTAACACTGTTTATTAGATTTTTCTGTTTTCTGTCTTCTCTCACCTCCTTTTTTCTGTTATAGTTTGATAGTATATAAATTGATGGTAACTTAAACTAAAAATTGTAATACTTATATTCCGGATGCGTTCATCTTATAATGTTTTCTTTATTATCTTTCAAACATTGAAGTATAAAATGTTATTATTATTTCAGATAGTTTGCAGCTGATGAGAACCTGTGATACAGTTTATTGGGGTTATACCCTCCCTCACTCACCACTCTTCAACTTATTCTCTCTTTTTTTCGGTTAACCGAAAATGAAGACGACGAATTTAGCACATTATCACGATGTTGACTGCCAGCTAGCTGACCGAATTATCTCTGTTAACCACATTTACTTAGATTTTTATCTTGTAGAGGAATAATTTCAAAGACATAAATGGAGGTAACAAGGACTGGTTACATGTGGACAGCAGAATAAATGAGTAGGATATTCAAAGATATCGAAGGAATACTCTAACGCCCCCTATGAATGGAAGCAAAGCACACGATACTAAGTATCTGTCCAAACCTTGGTGTAGGTGAAGCGAAGTTGGAACCCATGATCCAGTGGTTGACAGTCAAGGGGTCGAACCAATGAGACAGTCCCCGTTCCCTCTCTCTCTGTATATATATATATATATATATATATATCACAAAACTCATGTTTTCACGTAATACATTTGCGTATGGCTATAATAATAATAAGGATAAAAATACACGCAAATACACACACACACACAAGGCGAAGCGATAGAGACAGATAACGAAAGATAACGAGAAACAGAGAGAGGGAGAGAGAGAAAGGAAAGAAAGCGACTTTATTGAGAAGAATAGAAAAATATATATTGTCTAAACTATCAGACAGCTAACTTAGTTAACTTGGCCACGAGCCAGAAAAGAAAAGCAAGAGAGAAAAAAGAAAGAAGTTCAAGTTAACTAACATTGATCGGTGAAAAGTTATGCGATAAGTTCTTTTTCTTCTTATTCTTGTTGCTTTTTTCCAACTTTCTTTTAGACTCTTTACCATAAAGGATTAAAACACAAGCAAACCTAAATGTAAAAAGAGAGGGTGAGGAGGGCGAGCGGTGGCGGTGGTGGTGGTGGTGGTGGCGCGGGGGGGATAAACCATCATCCATCAGCGCATTTGTGTGCCAGCGCGCCATATTCATACACAAAATTGTGTATGAATATCGAGTAAGGCGAATGTGAAGCCAAAAAAAGAAACGCGGGAAATTCCAACAGGACGAAGACTGATGAAACACACAACCATCAAGGAAAAAATGAATATGAGGAAATATACAGGCGCACACCGACACACACAAACACACCATCAAATGGTATCTCTTTTATTCTTCTGTTTTTTTTACTTATATGCCTAAGGATTAAGACTAAAGATTTAGATAACTTTAAGATCTGCTGCCTAATATATTATTAAAAAACGAAGTTTTTGTAATGATCCAGTTCGCTTTCACAATAAGAAAAAGAGAATAATAAGACAGATCCCTGAAAAAAAAATTGAGAAATGTTAATTTTTTTTGGCTGGAGAGAGAGAAAAAACAACAAGATAAGCTTAAAATATGAAAAACAATAAAACCGGAACTAGAAGATAACCACCACCTTCCTAAAGAATTTTAGAATCACGTTTATCAAATAGTATACAAAATAAATAGTCGAGCAGAATGCGACTTGCTCTTGTCAAATGTAAGATGCTGGCTACAAAAACTGGACTACATTGATTTCTAGCTCAAAGACAGACAGAAGTGAAGTGGTAGAGCGTGTTGACAACATCAGCAGCAACGGACTGACTTCTGAGAAAATCTCAGCATGGATACAAGAGGTTGGTGTGGTATTTCGTCAACCTACACATCATCTGTGGTGTAAACGTGATACTCGACCGGCTATCAATCAAAGGAATGGGGGGAAATGGTTAGGATATGTCTTACGTATACCTAGCCATCTCCTTCCTCGACGGGCGATGTCAGCTGACATAAGATCAGGTTAGAAAAGAGCCAGTGGTGGTCAAATTAAAACACCACATTAGTTTGAACAAGCCACGTAGGGAGGTGTAGACTGCTGTCTGGTTGGGGTTCTCGGGATGGTAAGAACCAATGAAGGCTGGAGACGATCGGTGAAATGGCTCAAAATCGCTCTCAATGGCGCAGATGCATTCACTCCTAGTGATTTATCATATCCAGTAAGACTCCATGTTACTATTCTTTCTTCTCCACATTTCTGCTGACTATCGTTCTTAAAATTCTCTTTTTTCTCCTCTTTCTTTCCTTTATGTGTTTCATAGCGTGGCAAGTTGAACAGCTGCATTTCTGTGCATAGTTTTATGTCAAAACCAGTCAGTCAGTCAGCGAATTCCACGCATAGAGAAGTACAATTCAAATTGTCCCACTTGAAAAAGGCCACAAACAATACGATTATCGATGATATGGTTCATGAGTGAAGGTGAAAAATACGAGTCTCGATTGCAATGGGATTGTAGGACCGGTGAAATGCTACCACTTTAACCTTCACTTGCCTCCCAAATAGTCTTACCATCAATACTATTATCCATGATGTATGCAGTGAGGTAAAGTCAGTAAGTGGATACGATTCTTTATGAGTTTGGAAAGAAAATAGGGCATATCACACATAACATCAAAGCAGATTATAGATGGAGGCGTAGAATGTCTCCCTTGTATTCCACTAAAATTTAGACTTGATAGCGACAGAATTTCAATACGCAAGTAGACGATCATCCATGGAGAAATATTTATTCAGTCAACTGGATTAACTTCAACGCTACTCCAACTCTCCGATAATACTCACAGTCTACACTGATCAAATTTATTTCCTTCATTCCTTTGCGTTCTGAGTGGAGCATACAGCTTCAAGCTTCAGCTATGAAGTTTAAGCAGCGGTGTTTGTTAGTATCGCACCAAACCTCCTCCAATTCCTCGGGTTTTACTCCCACCTATGCAAGGTTTACGAATGCGTCCGCTGAGGAAAGAACACCTGAACCCATGTGCACGGTTGACGAGGATTCTACTGCTGAATCCAACCACCGACGCACACTCACTTCAGTGACAAACAGAATTGTGTACCACCATATGTGAATATAGAAAATAGCTTACTGTTAACTACTGGCAGTTTCGATTGTTGTTGTTGTTGAGCTAAGCGATTTTCAGCCTCTTGTATACGTTCCAATAATACTTGTTTCTCAGTTTCTAAAACTGAAATAGTGTGATTATGCACTTTTTCATGTTCCATTTGCTAATGAATTATTTTTTTTTTTTCATAAAGAAAAGAAAACAAGAAGAAGAGGAAGAATGATAAATTGCAACAAAGTCCACCAAAAAACAAACACAACACAATAATTCAAAGCAAAACACAACGTCTTGGCTTAATGAGATCACGAACACTTAATTACTGGCTTCACCAGTATAATTTAAAATTATTCAATACTGCTGTGATCATGGCGATCATATTGACTGAAACAGAGTGCTACGAGCATAACCAAACACAATCCTTAGTGAATAGTGACTTAAAACTGGGACAAGATCAACAGCTGACTAAGGTTCACAGCTTAGCTTACAAAGAGCAAATTCAGTGACCTGGTTCGAACTCTACACCGTTATATTACTAGAATCCAAAGGTACCTGGAATATATATCGACTAGAGTATGCTAAAACACGACTCAACAGAAGAGGTAATTACGAGGAAATTAAGAAAACCAGTTCAAAGAACTTTTAATGCTGGCGAACTACACGTCTTATATTCTCTACACGGCCAATGGTGCTACCTCGACTGAAAGATGAAGTATCGAGACTAGCCACTTCAAATTGTATCTACCGATTCAGCTGCTCCTGTGGAACGAGTTATATTAGCAGTCGCCCTAGGAACTTGATTTTTCGTGCTCAGGAACATCTACCAGTGTAGCTAGGTAAAGTTGTAGTAGAAACCATCAACAGTTCGATATTGGACCAATCGGTGCAAACCGGTCACAAAGCCAGCGTGAAAGAATCCCTATCTATCATCTACCGGGTGTCAAATAAACTGCCAAAAACACCCAGGTACCGCATTCTCCAAACACCAGAGGCTGTAGCAATTCGTGTGAAACAACCAGTGCTTTATGTGCAATAGAAGCAAGTCCAGTCACTACTACTGCCCTGACCTTCAGTAGAGACTATAAATTCATGAAATTGTATTATTATCTTTCCTAATTTTTCTGACATTCAGCGTATTTTTATTTTGATGCTATTGAACTGTAATCTATTAAGATTATTGATTCAATGTTATTTAAACAACATTAACGTTGTTCATAAGAATAATTCATTCATTCACTATAATGTGTATATAACTGTAGAGCCTGATGATGAAGTTATCGAAAAGAGTACTCCTTGTTCAGTATCCATTCTTTTCAGAATAATTGAATAAAATAGTCAAATCGATTCGAATTACGCAATAAATACTTAAAATAACATGTAGAATATATTCACAGACATATACTACTGATTCAAGTAAGTAGTTGGAGACCACTCACGTCAAACAGGATTACTTTCCAACCAGACCGAAGTAACCTAAACACTGAACAGCTGTTTCATTTATTTACGACAACACAATAAGAAGACGTAGTTTATCTGAAACGTGTAATGTGTTGGCGCAACACATTTCGGACATTCTGATCACACACGTACTTGTCATACACAGTTTTTATATGATGCGAGAAGGCATGTACTGCCGATACAATTGAAGAAGAAAGACAACACCTCACTGAAATATTGTTAGATAACAATTACCCACTGAGATTTATTGGATGTTACGGAAGTGTCAACCATAGAGCTTTACCAATCCAATCAGCTCCCAAAAAGGATGTTTACATATCCTTACCGTTCAGAGGTGATCAACAAAGTTTAGTCGCTAGACAAAGACTAGAGGCCGCAATCAATAGAACCTATTATGCAGCTAAACTTATCTTCACAGAGAAAACGAGGACTATGCTGTTCTGTAAACCCTCACTCACATCATCCGAACGATAGTGTCACATCCCACTGTGTTTATCAATTTACATGTATGTGTGGAGACACGTACATAGGGAGGACCCATCGGTCTCTGCAGGTTAGGGCTACAGAACACATTCCAAAATGGCTGCAGCAACAAATGAAATCACCAGACACAAATGATCCCGGAAATAGATGTCCAACATCATCTATAGCCAAGCATATTATAGAGACGGGTCATAAGGTTGATTTCAACAGTGCCTTTAAGCCGATATATAAAACGAGGTTGGGCCACATACTTAAATTCATTGAAGCCTTAGCCATAAAAAGACTTAAACCTGTCTTATGTGTCCAAAAATTATTTGTTGTCACCTTAAACTTGCCTTGGTAATCCAATTTTAGAACCAAGGACCAATTTAATTCATAGTATTTTCAACCCCTTCTTTGCCTTGTTTTCTCCTTTTATCTTTCTTACCCACACCTCTTGCGTCTCCCTACGCATTATTTGTGACGTTGACCTGTATGCAATCTGACCTGTATTGTAATTATTCATGCCTTCTTGCATCATATAAAAACTGTGTATGACAAGTACGTGTGTGATCAGAATGCCCGAAATGTGTTGCGCCAACACATTACACGTTTCAGATAAACTACGTCTTCTTATTGTGTTGTCGAAATTCATTAAGGGAACCAATTGTTTTAAATCATTTATTTACCGTCGAGGTGATCAGTGTTGTACACGAGCTAACCCAACTTAGAAAGACGAATCCCTTGAAACCACTAGAATTCTGGAGGACCGGTAATACACGGAACCAGATTTGTAAATTATACAATTCAAAGTGGGAATTCAGCACAGTTTACTTGGGAAACCAAAAATATTTACATCACAATATGTGACCTCCATGATGTCATAAATTGTGATCAAGAAAGTACAGCGATATACAGCATGATGCTAATTAATACTGGTGGATATGAATACTAATAAAACCATACTATATAATTTGCTTATTAATTATCACTTATGATATCATAGAGATCACACTATGTGATCTGAATACTTTTAGTTTCCAAAGGAAGTTGCTGTTAATTCTCACCAGAGACTGTGTGTAATTTTCAAGTGGAGAATTGGATTCTATATTCACAGACGATGTTGTTATTGAAACGTAAAACAAACAATACAAACATGATATTCAATTAACGAGAAATATAACATAAATTATACTCAACTACTACTACACTATGGAACATACCTCAGCCAATACTTTATCTAATTGATTTTGAATAGCTTGTAGTTCATTCGACTTTACTTCAAGTTGATCAAATGCATTTGAAGCACTCTTCTCTAATGAAAGCATTCTAAATACCAAAAAAGAGAGGTAAGCGAGGGGGGGTGAGAAAAAACCTCAGTAAAGGCTTCTCTAGAAAGTTATCACTGACAAGATGTAGATAGAGCAAAAAACGTACGTTTACGAAAAGAGGTATTGTGATACAATATCGTTCTGCTGTAGTTAATGAACAATTAACACACAACTTTTCTTTGAAAGGCAATCACACTGCATAATCATTCAGATCTCGATAGTTGTAGTGGAATTAAAGTAGATATGATTCCCCACTGGGCGCTGAATCAACCCACCAGGACTCAAACTCAGTACCCTCCATTTCAAATACCAAAGCGTTACCCACTGAACCACTTGGGTCATGAGAGTCACCTCTTGTGCAACGGGGATAAGTTATTATTTTGTAGCAGCCAGCTTTATTTTTTCCGTTAAATTAATGAACCGAAATGTTTAGGTTCTGTTGACATCTCGGTTCCTAGTGGAGATGCTTCTTTCCTTTGCTTCTTTGTCAAAGAGCCGTCAATAAAGACAAATTAAGATAAAACTTACTTTTGTCTCACAGTGTCAAGTTCTTCTTTCAGTAATGCACTATCAGATTGTACCTGATAAAAGTATGGAAAAGAAACAGAGGTTAAGGATCTTAGATAAGGAATCGGATTTATATACATTCGAACACCTAACAATTACGTCATATCGAGCATTCTTAACAATGTGAATTAGAAGCTTCACAGTAGATTCAACCAATGAGACAAAATTCATAGATGTGAACGAAATAGTTGGGGGAAAAACGATCGAATATTGATGATAATACACGTCTACGCAATCTGCATAACTCCCTAATGAGAAGAGAATCTACTTTTTGTGAACCTGCTATTTATTGGTGATACTCATAAAATATGGATAATTATCTGTTCAGTGGGACCGATATATTGCCTTTTAATGTTGTAGACCTAAAATAAGAGTAATGCCAGTAAATGAAAACAATAGTCTAACTACCCCAAATTAGACAATTACATTATATTCCACGTGAGACTGTCAAAATGTTTGTTTAGACACCCAACTACTTAAAAAGTAGTTCAGTAGTAAGGTTTCGTCTTTTGAAAAGTATCAACACATATTTAAGTGGAATGTGAAAACTCAACCAAATTGTTTGTATTTCAAAATATATTTGCTTCGAACAAATTTCAAAAACAAAACCAGACGCCCCATTAAATTCCTTAACAAATCTCACACAATTCAACCTACGGATGAACTAGAAATTACATAATAAATGAAGGACCCATGGAACAAATATCGCTTTCAAACAATCTAAAGTGTCTTCAAATAAACCTCGTGAAGTGATGATAAGAAGCTGTGATCTTAAGCACCTCTAAATCAACCTAACACGATTATCAAAACGCGATATGGTGAGTCGGTAGAAATTAGAAATCAAAGGATATTGGGATTCAGAATTAGTGAATTTATATGAGTTAATCTGCTTGTATGGATTACATCGAACCAAACATACAGTGTAATACAAACAACATTAGAGATTGTTTGATAATAACATTATAATTCACTTGGGTTCCGACTTTAGCAGCTCATCTGTAGCCGCTTCATGTGATTGCCAATAAATTATCATTTCCCTTCACACAATCTTCTCCATGTCACCATCGGATCTATGCCCAACTTGTTGTTACCTTTCTCGGTTCAACTTAAGGACTTCGAGTTTGGTGTCACTTAACGCTCTCCTCAGTGTGTGTACAATCCATCTCCATTTCTTTCGGAAAATTTCTGGAGTACAGGTTCTAGGTTCGTTGTCTCATCAAAAGCATCTAACTTTAAGAAAACACGCTAACCAAAGATTATCCCATACACATGATGAAAACTGAACGATGGGTATGTTAGACTTCTAGCGGTAACCAGTATAACTATCAAATTCACCGAACACACATTTAAAATGATCAATAAACTAAGTGACGCGTAGATTGCCATAAACATAAACATGAAGGCAATACATGTTTCACTTCAAAGTCGACGAAGCAGGTAGTTAGCTGGTGAGTAGCAAACAGCACGAATTCTACATTTAAGGCCAAAATCTTTTAGTGTCTAAAACTTCACTATATTTCAGTTCAAAAATCGAATTTATAAAAAAAATCTTCAAAATGATGACATGTTTTATCTAGCTGAGAATAAACTCTTAAATAAGGACATATCTTCAAGTGTTCATTTACAGAGATTTTGATTGTGAAGTGACTTCAGTTAGGAAACCATTGAGAAGCAGAAGAGTTGTTTCATTCTTGTTTGGGACAACTTCACCAGTACACACCCATCACCCCACCGGCAAGGGTCGAAACCAAGACCTTCAGGTTATAAGACGAGCTCACTGACAATTCAGTAACTGGGGTGGAGTCCAATAGCCATCGTTCTCAAATTCTCCCAACTCGTGAGGAGTCCCAAACAAGGACGAAACATCAGTGAGTATCAGTCCTCACACTCGACATGGTAAGCCGCTAGATTCCGTCATAGTGACTGAATGGTCAACCAGTTGATTTTGTAACCTGAAAGTCCTTGGTTCGATCCCTGGTAGGCTCATGGATGCGTACAGCAGCTGAGGTTTCCCAGACGAAGACGACAGAGCTATTCAATACTTCTCAGTTTTCAATGGTTTTTCTAACTGAAATCATTTTGTGATCAATTTGAAAATGATAACATAAACAAAAAGTTGATATAACTTACTTCACTTGCATTCTTCAAAGTTACATTCACTCTGGTCAGTTCACTTTCAAGTTCATTACGTTCATTTTCTAGAGTTTGACAGTATTTTTGTAAATCTTGACGATTTTTCTCATGATATGATCTAATGAAAAAGTAATATAAATTAAAGAGAGACGATAATTTACGCATGAAAATAAACCTGAAGTCCTGCATGCACTCACACCCAAATTTGGAATAAGCATGATTGATAGCATAAGTCCATTTTAGATATAATAGAGAAGATTTGTAGCTCAGGTGGATGATTTTGGTGTGGTTGTGTTCTCTGAGCTGGATGGTTTGGTTGCGAAAACAACCAACCACGTTCAAGGTTACTAGAAGAGATGACTAATAAACTCATAGAGAATTCTAAAAGCTCACTTCACATCGAAGTATGCGCTGAAGATGTTGCTCAGTAGAGCAATGAAAGCTTCGCAACCAAACCATCCAGCTCAGAGAACACAACCACACCAAAATAAGTCCATTTTCTATACAAACTAATCACATAATTTTGATTGGACACTAGTAACTAGTGTGACGTGTCTAGTCCTTTCTTTGGTGCAGACTGAATTCTATCAGTCAGGTTTGCAATGTGGCCACCATTCTAGGTAGCTCGCCATCACGGTGTACATTGATTTGATGATATTAGATGGTTGGAGGCAATCGGCCACAGGAAGCCTTGGATCTAGGTTTCGTGCTAGTTGGCACTCACTAGTCAGCAAGGCGTATCTGCAACCTTGAAGGAACTCATTTCCTTTCTGAGATTTGAACCCGCGTCACCCAGTGACTGCAGTCAGGGACGTTACCACTGAGCTATTCGGGCTCACGATTGACTGATAGAATTCAGTCTGCATCAAAGAAAGGACTAGACACGTCACACTAGTTACTAGTGTCCAATCAAAATACCCACTACAGTCCTACAGGAGGTCAATCGCGAGTGAGCCCGAAGAGCTCAGTGGTAACGTCTCTGACTGCAGCCACACTGGGTGACGCGGGTTCGAATCTCAGAAGGGACATGAGTTCCTTCAAGGTTGCAGATACGCCTTGCTGACTAGTGAGTGCCAACTAGCACGAAACCTAGGTCCAAGGCTCCTTTCCAATTGCCTTCAACTATCTAATAATCACATAATTGCTGACTGCCAATGTAAGTTATAACATTCAAAAGAAATCACCTATGAACTCAGAGTAATTTCCGTCGTCTTAGACTGGAGAAATCATTTAAAAACAAACCTGATTTACACACAAACACACATACACAGAAGAGAAAATTTATTCAACTTTTCAGTTTACTTTGAGCAACTGCAACCGACTTTATAAATGTTTCAATATTTTCCTAATTCTTCTGAAATATTTACACTATCCATTGTGTAGAAGTTGTGCTTGCTCACCAACCACGCTTTATGTGATTCGAGGTTCGACTCCTGATCGACGCGTTCCTAAACATCGTCTAATTTCTTAGCGGATAAGTAAGTTTGGAAAAGAAAAAAAGATTGGGGCTAGCAATATTAACGCTGTTGGTACTTAACATTGCCTGTATAGCTGTCTCACGGCACCGCTGAAGTATATTTTCAGTTTTGATTTTACTATTATTTAATAGAACCACTACAATATGGAACAATAATAGTCTTTTCCTTGTATTTTGAACGCTTCGTGATAATGGGTGTCACAACGAAGTTTTTTCAGTTATACAGTAGAACGTAAAGATCACTTTCTTGCGTTCAGTCCATAACCGAATAAATTTGGTTGCTACAGCAAGAACTAACATTCCTGTCATTCTTTTACATTCCAATTAGCACATAGGGTTTCAGACTTGAGCTTGATATAGTCCTTCCAGGCGAAGACGCTGACAAAATGAAGAGTCTTCTGAACACTTTGAGCTGCAATCTACGAATGTTTGGCATGCGATTCGCTCCCGCCAAATGTAAGATGATGTTAAAGGACTGGACTACATCGACTCACTCCTAGCTTAGAAATAGGGAGTGAAGCGGTAGAGCACGTTGACCGCTTCACTTATTTCGGATGTTGCATCAGCCCCAACGCCAGTGGGTTGATCGCTGAAGTAATCCCAGCACGGATACAGAAGCCTAGTTTTGCATATGCCAGTCTACGCCATCTCTGGCGGGAGTACTGCTCAGCAGTCCGCTCCGTCCTCTCTTATGGCTGTGAGACATGGCCACTGAAAATGGAAGACATGAAAAGGCCAGTTGTCCTTGATCATAGGTGCCTGCGTTCTATCTCCCGTGTTAAGTGGTATAATAGGGTGCGCAATATTGAGGTTAGGCCTCAGTCGAATGCTAGGTAAAGAGGGAAAATCAATCAACGAGGTTGTGAAGCTAAACCGATTGAGATGGTTAAGACATGTGTTACGTATGTCTAGCCACCGCCTTCATCGACCGATTGGCAATGTTAGCTGACATAGGGTCAGGTTGAAAAACACCTAGTGGTGGTAGTCAAACCAAAACATGGCTCCAATAGTCAATGAAATGCGCAACAGTTAGTTTAAGCCAAATAGGAAGGTGTAGACTTCCTTGTTGGAGTCCGCAGGATGGTAAAAACCAATAAAGATTGAAGACAATTGGTGATATGGTTCAAAGTGATCGTTGTCAATGGCTGGCGTAGATGCATCATCACTCCTTGTGACTTATATAATAAAACTATATTGTTCTTCAATATTACTATTCCTTTTGCCTTATATCTCTGTTTACTGTCTCTATTTTGCATTTCTTTTTACTTTCTTTTCTTGCTTTGTGTGCTACATGGAGAGTGTGGCGACTTGAACTGCTGCACATCGGTGCAAAGTTCTATGTTGAAAACAGACAGACAGACAAACAGACTTCAGCTCTAAAATTTCAGTAGGATTATTAACCCCACGCCCAACCACTTCCCTTTACTGTGCCTACTACCGGCTAAAAAAGGTTTATGCGTACAGTGATCGAGAATCTAACCAAGAACACCTCTGTGGCTGGTAAGCATTCTACCACTGAGTTACTGACGCACAAAACAAACACTAACGCGGTATAAGATAGATCGAAGTTAGTCTGATCCAATGTTTATAAAGTAAATATAGGCACCACCCGCCGTTAATAAAAATCAGTCCATACAGCATATTTTTTACATGCAATGAAAAAAATTAAGAATTAAAAAGACCTTCAGCCAGATGAAATTCAATTGTAACACAATTAAGGTAAGTACTTGAATGTGTTAAACAGCAATACAAATATCACCAGGAAAAAAAAAACAAAAACAGAAGAGAAACCTACATTTGTTCCTTCAAATCATTAATACGTTGATGTAGCACTGCTGATAGATTATCCGATTTCTCGGCTACAGATAGATCACCTAGCATTGTGCATATCTCTTCGACTAATTGATCACGTTTTGAACGTGCCCCGTTCAACTCCATTAATAATTCATCTTGTTTCACTTTGGATTCAGCTAATTCAGCCTTAATTCTATTCAAATTACCTTCAAGTTCACCAAGTCGACTTTCAGACTAAAAGAAATAATAGAAGGGGAAAAAAAGCCCAAAAAGAAGTGAAGATTACCGAAATGACATATATTCGAAGCTGAAAAAGAGAATGCTACCTATTTCCTAGGTTGTATACCTGTACCTGACAACAAACAACCTACTCAGACCAAATGAATCCTGGTGAAAACCTTTACAGAGCACAACACTATCAAGTTACTTAGCTGAATGGCTGTGTTAATAATATTATTCGAAATTTCTACGACTAGAAAACTACGTGACTCAACTGCAGGGAGTACTGGACAGCTGTTTTGTCCTAGTTTGGGACTCCTCATCAGTACGCACCTACAGCCGGGGTTCGAACCCGGGACCTTCTGATTACAAGGCGAGCTCATAGACCATTCAGCCACTGACACCCGATTCAATTCCAACTTCTACCAAGTGACGATACGGCACTAGTGACTGGCCATATTCAGGTAGGTAGCAACCTGTGGTTCTAGTGGGAAGTCGTGACCAGTAGGGTACAGCAGGTCGGGTGTGAGGACAAATACTCGCTGATTACATTCGCTAGTCATCGCGCCGTATCGTGAATTGGCAGAAGTTGGAATTGAATCGGGTGTCAGTGGCTGAATGATTTACGAGCTCGCCTTGTAACCAAAACGTCCCGGGTTCGAACCCCGGCTGTAGGTGCCTAATAATATAATAATTTATATTTTTTGCTTTGATTCATCACTAGATAGTAACCAATGTCATGCGCCTAGTCCTTGGGGTTGATGTAGACTGAATTCTATCAGTCAAGTTTTGTGATGTGACCACCATGATGGGTAATTCGACATTGCGGGGTAAACTGCAGCAAACCAAAGACTAGATGCATAACACGGTTACTTACTACCTAGTGTTCAATCAAATTATCTATTATAATCCAACAGAGTGGAAATTCCTTTGATTGCAACACTGAGTGAGAGGACATGAGTTCCTTCAAGATTGTAGTCATGCCTTGCTGACGAGTGCCAACAAACACGCAGCTTGACTCCAGGGCTACCTACCGACTGCCTCCAATCATCTAACAACAAAGTTCTTTCTTTTCATTCCTATACGATCCAAGTGGAACACAAAGCTTCAAGCTTTAGGCTTAAAGGAGTTTCACTAGCTGTGATGTTCACATTACAGGATGACGTTGCTAGTCTCACACCCAACATCTTCTCTGTTCCGGACATCCTATCGACAAATAAATTAGGCGAGGTTTCAGAATATGAGTCAGCGGGGAATTTCACCCCTGACGAGCATTCTGTCATTGAACCACTAACGAGGATCCAACAAAGTGTACAAACATATTTGAAACGGAAAAATAATTAAGTAATTTCTGAATACCAAGAAAAAAAGAAGAAAAAAATAAATCAAAACAAACCACATACATTTTCTTTATCTTGAATTGATGTTTTATATTGAAGTTGAAAATGAGCTAATTGTTCTTTTTGTTCATTTAACAATTGTTCTTGTGCTTTAATTTTTTCCAGCAATAAATTGTTAGCATTCTCATTATTACTACTATTGTTGTCACTATTATCAGCTTGTAAACTGTTGATTTCATCCACTTGTGCAGAATGACACAATTCGGCATTAGATAAAACATTATTCTGTAAAGATAGACAAATAGATTAAAAATAAATAAATAAATAAATGCAGTAAAGTCCCAGAGACAATAGAGAGAAATATGCACATCATAGTCTTTCACGAGAAAGTAAACAGATGTATATATATATATATAAAAGAGAATGAAACTTTAAAGGAAAGTCATTCTTTTGAGTAATAATATAACATACACATACATGTATATATATTACAATTGAACAAGCGAAGAATGAGAGTTAAAAGAGTGTGTAATGCACTTCAAAGGAGGAGAAGAGAAAAAAAAGGGCAAACAGTTTCCCGGCATTAGTGATTGTGACATAGCAGAAAATCAAGTCATCCAAAAATACACATGACATGACTGAAAGGAAAAAAACAAACCAACAACCGATGGGTGCGTACTGATGAAGAGTCCCAAACTAGGCTGACGAAACAGTCGGCCGTCCAGTACTCCCTGCAGGTTTTCCAGTGATTCTCTAACTGATGTCAGCTTATGATGAAATCCTCGATCCAAACCAACAAAGAACTAATGCACAGAAGTGCAGAGAATAGAGTCAACAACTTCATGGGGATAGTGGTATGTTCTGGCCTGACAATTCTTAACTATTCCAACATGATAATACTTCAGTTAACAATATTTTTTCTAGGATGGAGGTAAAGTTGGCAAGCATAACGCTTTCATAATCCCCATTCCGATTGATGAAGCTTCGAAACTACAACAAAACAACTGTTCAAAAACTCTGTCCGTATGAACGACCTCTTGAAATACTCTCATGTGGCCACGCGTTCAAAGCCTCTGCCAGGTATGTCCTATCACTGCTTTCACGCTATCAAGATGATCCTCACAAAAGTGGAGGGACGAATGCTTACAACTGGACCAGCGGACATGCGGGTCTACCAAGCCCGATTCTAAACCCATGGTGTACATTACCTCCAGAATCAAAAAGAATCGAATAGTGTATGAAAACCTGTTTCGGTCACCAGAAACCATGGGGACATAGCTCTTGACGTTACTCCATTGCTTTACAGATCAGAATACAAGTCAAAGGCTCGGGGTTTGAACCTTTAAGACAACCATCTGCTTTGATCTGGGCGTCCGGGCAGTATCCGACCCTTCGAACAAACTATGGCTTTTTGTGTGGCGCATATCGTGTTTTAATAATCAATAATACAACGAAAACTCTACATACTACTACTATTACTATTACTAACAACACATACTCGCCATTCTTAAACTAATACATACCACGGTCTATTATTATTACTTATATGATAATAATTATAATGATAATAACCATAATTCATATTTTTCTCTTCCTTTGCGTTCCCAATGAAACGCAGGGCTTGAAGCTTGGGCTTTGAAGTTCCGGTAACGATGGTTTCATTTCTACGGAGTGGGATTGCTAATCTCAAGCTTAACCTTTCGTTGCCGGGATGAGAAGTGTGTCGGCTGTGGATCAAACCCAAAACTGCATGCAGCGTGGTTGGCGAACACTCCTATCACTGAACCACTTTATTTTTATTCCTTCACGTTCCCAGTGGAACATAGGGCTTCAAGCTAGAGCCTCGAAGTTTCTGTAGTAGTGTTCATTTTTACAGGATGGGGTTGGTAGCCTCATGCCCAACCTTTCCTCTTCACCAGCATTATTTCTGGCTTAGTGAGGTAAAGGAGCGCGTCTGTGGCCGGGGATCGAACCCCGGACCATGTGCATGGTCGGCGAGCGTCTTAACCGCTGTGCCACCGACGCACACTGAACCACTTACTCACACTAAAATAATCACCTGAATTCACGCACCAAAAAGCATAATAAAAGCAAAAGAAAAAACCGCAATCAGTTATGATGCAATTCACTATTACTATTATTCTTGTTACGGTTACACACACACACACAAACCCGCATGCAAATAAACAAACGATTATTCAGATACTTGAAATAATTACAGCTACCTCCCACCGTAACAAAAGCATACATAATCACACTATATATATGCATGTGTGTAATTTTCCGTTAGGCATAAAAACAAGACAAAAATAGTTGTTTGTTTGTATTGTTTCACTGTTTTTTTTGGAAAAATAAAGGAACATATCACAAGGCAGCAAAAGCGCAATGAGTTGTATACAGAAGAAAAAATATTTATATATATATTACCCATCCTCCATATAAGGTATACATACATATGGGCAAAGGTACACATGAGTAAACATACACCTCTCTACAAGCGAGGTTATGACCCCCCCCCCGAAAAAGAAAATCAAGTAACTAGAACTATAGAAGGCAAAGCAATCAGAACAGTCGATAGTTAGTTCGCTTGTAAGCAAGAACAAAGACACATAGAAAGAAAGAATAGTCCGAAGACGAAAACAGGAAACGTTTTAAATTACTAAAACGAAAACTAAGCTCGCTAATCAGTTGATTCTTGCATGGAGAAGAGAAATGTGAAGTCGTAAAGTACAAATATTAAACATAACATGAAGAATAGCGAATATATATATATGTGTATGTAGTATATATACATATCAAAAATATGCGGTAGTTAATTTGTTTTTCATATTTGTATTTGTGCTGTTGAACAGTCAGTCAGTCAGTCAGTCGTCAAGCGACGCGTGCGCACGCAAGCGCATGTGAAAGTTACATAACACACGCACATATATATATATATATATATGTAATATCAACAATCTTACTTCACACATGTATCTGATAAATTATGTCACTGTAATATAATAAAAAGAAATTGCAGAAAAAAAAGGAACACTCGGATGTAAAAACATTTTTTTTGTTTAATGATATCACTGAAACTAATAGAAAACTGTAAGAACTATGATACTGATTGCGAGGTCATAATAATCATTGAAAAGGAAATAGGTACCTGTCTTTCGATACACACAACCGCAAGCACACACAAACACACACACGCTGGCAGGTACACAGACCACCGCAATCACTATGCAATGAGTGAAGTTAAAAAACTAATAATCACAGAGTCAGTTATAACCTAATAACTCAACTGTTAACACCCGAAAAGACTGACACTGGTACAACAGCGGTGAACAATCCGAAATACAACAGTGTTGTGTTTTGATGTGATGCATTATTTAACTATAAGTGATCATCATACACTGACAAACAAATTGATGAACCTCAACAACTAACTGAGGGTATTGAAGGTCTATCTGTCTGTCTTCAACATAGAACTTTGCACATATGTGCGGCAGTTCATGTCGCCACACTCCTCCCATGTAGCACACAAAGGAAGAGAAGAAAGTAGAAGAAATGCATAATATAGACAGTAAACAGAGGTGTGAGACAAAGGAACAGTAATAACGAAGAACAATATAGTTTTATTGGGTATTATAAGTCACAAGGAGTGGATGCATCTGCGCCGGCCATTGAAAACGATGAGTTTGAGCCATGTCACCAATTGTTCCCAGCCATTGGTTTTTACCGTCCCGAGGACCCCAACTAGTCAGGAAGTCTACATCTTCCTACGTGGCTTAGACTAACTGTTGTAGATTTCATTGACTGGTGCCATGTTTTCGTTTGATCGCCACTAGCTCTTTTCCACCCTGACCCTATATCAGCTAAGATTGCCCGTCGGTCGAGGAAGGCGATGACTAGGCATACGTAACACATATCCTAACCATCTGAGTCGATGTAACTTCACAACCTCGTTGATTGATTTACCCTCCTTACCTAGCACTCGATTGAGGCATAACCTCTATATTGCTCACCTTATTATACCACTTCACACGGGAGATAGAACGCAGACACCTATGATCGAAGACAGCCAATCTTTTCATGTCTTCCACGGTATTGGCGGTGAGACTATCTCAGAAAGCTTTCAGTTGGCAGACTCTTATATCCTGAGGTGGTAAGCATTAGGAAGAGAGAAGACAAAAGTATGTTTGTCCGACAAGAAGATTTTTGGAAGATGTGAACTTTGAGGACGATTTATGCAGAATATTACAAAAACTCGAACACCCAAAGTTCGGAAACCAACAAGTTGGCAGAACAGGCATGCAGAGAAGACAGGACTTCACGTGAACATAAGGAGGTGATGAAGATACCTAAACCAACAACAACAATAAGCACCAATAATAAACAACGAGAAAAAATTAAAGGAACTTCTTTCACTTATCAACGGCCAAGTTAAACTTTAAGCACCACTAACTACCAATCAGCGAACGACTTCGAATGGTCCAATGAGGTTCATGCACGTGAGTTCAAGGTTGTATTCCGCTTGATTCGTATCAAATGCATGCTCTAACGAACTTACGCTTGCAGTTCGAGGAGGATAAGGTTTTGCAGTATTGCATGGATTTGGGGTTGCTTAGGAAGGAGAGGATTTGTTCCTGTGGTGGTGTCATGAGTTCAAAAAGCTTCAGCAGGTCGATTGATGTGTATGTCCATTGTTATGCAATTTGTTTGAGACGAGTTAGCATTAGAGAAGGTAAGTTAATAATTTTAATATTTCGTAGTAACATTTTTTGCTAGGTCACATCTCTCCCTAATCCAGATTTTGTATATCTGCAACTACTAGGTTTCAAAACAGCCTGTGAGAGGCGCAACTGAGAAACTGAAAACAGCTTCGTGTCAACAGTTCAGTGGTATTGGCACTGCAGATACATCGCATCATGGAAAATGGAGAGAATTACTTCGTTGCTAGGCGGAGAAGGTATCGTCGTACACACGGACGAAACTGTGTTACTGAAAAAAAATACAACCGTGGTCGTGAGAGAGCCAACAATGTTTGGGTGACCGGTTTATATGACACCTCCCTGCGAAAAGGATTCGAGGAGAGAATACCAGACAGAAAGTCAACTACTTTAATACCTATTAATCCTAGACTTGTGAAACAGGGATCTGTAGTACATACTCATGAATGGAAAGGTTATAACTCGCTGTCATCTCTTGGATATATTCATCACAGAGTGAACCATTCTAGCGATTTTGTGAAACCAATTACAGGGACACACAAATTCTATTGAAGGATTTTGGGGAAGATTGAAAAATAGGATTAGGGTTACAAATGAACCTCAAAAGGATCTCATTTATAGTCATTTGGATGAATATATGTACAGAATGTGGTGTGACTTTTCTATTGACACTCCTATGCTAAACTAGGAGATGTTTCTGTCACATGTTAGAGAAAGATACCCTATGCAACAGTTTTATGCAGTTTTTAAGCTTTTTTCCATAAATAATATACGTTTTCCTTAATCAAAAATCCCTCTCTCATGTGATTGGTTCGTTGAAGGGCGTTCGCTGATTGGTAGTTAGTGGTGCTTAAAGTTTCAACTACATACGACTAGGATGAAGATGCCAAATCCAGAACAAGAAAGGTAAGATACACATTCATCACTCTGAAATCAATGTGAAAATCTACTGTGCTAAGCGTAAAGAACAACGCTTGAATCTTCAACACCAATGTCAAGTCAGTACTTCTACATCGTTCAGAGACTCGTTATGTCACCGAATGCATTTCCAACAGCCTTCTGCAAGTGTTCACTAACAACTGGTCTCTTTACTCGATACTGAAGATCACATGACCAGCCAGAAGGCATAAGCAACAAAGAACTTTGGTAGTTGAATGACATCATCTAGAGTGGAACCTGAATATCAAATGACAAGTTCGGCTTCCGAGAGTGACGTAGAGGAGATGAGAGCCAATGGATAGTCGTCGAGTCAGGGAAAGAAGACTGTAGAGAACAGGATTAAAGGGAGATGTGTTGTTAACGTTCAGCACTCCACTTGGAACCCAAGGAAATAGTAATATATATCCTGAGTAGTAGCAGAGAAACATCTCACTGGTTACTGTAAAGCACCTAAAACACAATTAGAATCTAGATATGAGGAAAAGATTTGTAGCTTAGGTGGAAGATATTGACTTCGAAATGAAGTATGCGTTGAAGATGCTGTCAAGAAAGGCAACGAAAGTTTCACAATTAAACCATTCAGCTCAGATTAAAAACAACTACACCAAGAACACGTAAAACTGTTCTGTCATATGTGTGGAATTACCGAAACCTTTTGGGATGGATATGTCACTCACAAACTAAAACAATAGCTTCAAAACATACAACGTCGATCAAACGAATTAAAGGCAAAAGAAGATAAAGGCAACATCATCTAAATTATACTGATCAAACTACAGGTCCATCCAATAGTAACACAAGTATGGTGAGCGCTGGTTGCTAGCCAAATTGGTAGACAGTAATTTACCAATAAAGGGGACGTCCCCTTCGTCTTCGTATCCATGAACATAAGCTAGCCGTCAAAAGACATGACATCCACTCACTCACATCATTAGATACAGACAACCACTGACATCAATTCGACTGGGACAACCAAAGTTCAAATATTAGACAGAGGAAACAACAAAAATGCTAGAGAATTTTTAGAAGCTTGGCATTCCAGTGAATCATCAATCAATAGACACATCGAGATAGACAAAATTTATCAACCGATTAGAAAGAAACCTCACACACAAAGGGTCAAAGTTCACGTCAAAGAAACAATCAGCCCCAATACAAGTAGCCTAGAAGGTGTGAAAACACACAAAAACAACCAATCACATCCAAGGTTACCGGGAGAGATGATTAATAAACTCATGGAGAAATCTAAAAGATCACTTCAAATTGGAGTATACGCTGAAGATGTCACCTAGTCGCGTGATGAAAGCTTCACAAATTAACTATCCAGCTCAGAGAATACAACCACCTGAGCTACAAATCTTCTCCATCATATCTAACTCCAAGTGTTGTAATTACTATAGGAAATTACTTGTTTTAAGCAGGTAAAAGTTATATCAAACTATGAGGAAAAACAAAACGAATAAGAAAAGAATACCTTCATACCAAAAATTGTGATAAGTTTACTGGTATTAAATGAAATCATTTATACAGGAATTACATATTAGTTGGTTTATTAGATATATCACACGGTGAAACAGTATTATTAACTGGATGACGAAGTTTCGAACATAATTCATTATTGTTCATAATCATGTCATCAATTATAATCACACGACTTCAATACTTGAGTTTTATAGTCTTCTTTGTTCTCTCCTATTTGTCATCGTTGGGGTAGTTGAATTTTCAAGATATCTGGAACAGGTGTTGAATCATTGCTATTACAGGTATTTGCAGTTGATTCGATAAACAAAGCTTCAGTTACCAATTTTTCCCTCCACCCCGCTGTTACATTGGATTTTAAAACTGTCATTTTATGCCATCCTTCTATTGTATGGTTGTGTGTAACTGCATGTAGTGCTATAGATGAACTATTCTCTAGATTTCTTATCTTATTCCGGTCAACTAATCTAGATTTTGCTAGGTTTTCGTGCTAGGCCAGTCTGACTGCCGCCGTTCTACTACTTTGACCTATGTATTTGACCTGGCAATCATTCAAACAGGGTATTAGATAAACCAAATTGTTTTTAGTGGGCTTCACAGGATTCTGTAACCGATGAATTTTGTTTCTAGGTAAGGTGGTAGAAAGTTTGAAAGTCGGTTGCTCTTATTCCTGCAGTGTTGAGAATTCTCCATAAGGTTTCCGTAAGGAATTGCTATCGATGATTTAGATTCCTTATTGTTGGTGTTGTCATTATCTTGCGCATGTTTGACATGCATGTCGCCATTATTATTATTATCACTACTATCATTATTTAATTTATTTTTGTTCTTACATTTCCCTACATACTTTCTGACTAATTTATCAGGGTAATAATTAAGTTTCAAAGCTTCTCTTATATGCCTCACTTACCGTCTTAGATTTTCCTCGGTACTACTTAGTTTTTGTGCTCTATTAATTAAACATTTCACCAATCCTTTTTTCACTGACATAGGACGGGATGATCGGAAGTCTAAATATCTGTTTGAATGAGTGGGTTTCCAGTAAACACCAGTGTTCAACTTCCCGTCTTCTTTCCTTTTTACGTTACAATCTAACATTGAGAGGTCCTCTTCCTGACTTTCCAATTCATAAGTGAATTCAATTGCCTCCACCATTGAGTTAAAATACAGGAATTACTTTCCTCTGAGTAACATATTGTGTCAGTGGTTCACTGGTAAAACGTCCCCCTCCCTCAACTACGCACGTGATTCGGGGCTGAATCCCCAGGCGGTAAATTCCAGGACCTCAAATGGCCATCTAGCCGGAAGTAAGTTCAGAGATAAGGGAAGGTTGGGACCAAGGCTAGAAAACCCGATCCGTAAAGGAAACTAACGCAATTGCAACTTTAAAGAATGTGTTCCACTCGGAAAGTGAAGGAATGAAAACTAAGTTAATTTATCATTTCGAAGCACGATAATCACAATCTGCTAATGTCTTGTTAACTTTTTTATACCCATATGATTTATAAGTACCTTGAAATGCACAGAGAAAATCGACAGAATAAGCGAACAAAGGAGATAACTCCTTCACTTATCCATCTTCTACCAATATATGGTATGACATAATCGCCAGAAACAAAAAAAAACAAAATTACTGAGAAAATAGATTAATAAAAGGAAAAGAGGAGATTCAAAATACTAACAACTTAAAGTGACTCTTACTACTATTAAAAACGCGATAATCCAACAATATTACTAGGTAGTTAGTAAGTAGTATGATTAGAAATTATAAGAAAATGTACATGAAGGCTAAATAAAATGAGATATCATGTTAGCCTGTTCATATGCATTCATAAGGGGAAAAGCTACGCGAAAGTAATTTTACATCATTATTGTTATTAGTATTTAAAAAACACAAGCTTGGTACAGTATGGTCACCAAAAGATGCACCACACAAAATTAAATAAAACAAAAATATAAAGAAAATAGGAACAGAAGAAGTGAGAGAGGTCAATCAGGAAGGAAGCATGCATAATTGCCAAGAATCACTCATCATTCATCACCTCACTCTCAGAAAGGGAAGAGAGAGAATTGCAGCACTGATCACCACTGATCGCGACTCATAAACATATATGGTAACGTCTCGAGTCAACGATTCAAGTAATCTCTCACACCCAAATCAACGAGTAGTGGTGTACACCAACTCATGACAACCTAACAAAAATATTCTTTAACCCAGGACGCAACTCCACTCGGCGACCATCTCTCCACTTTTTCCATCATGTCACAGGGTTAGCAAACAGAGACCGGTATGGTAGCCTATGGGATGACATTCGTATCAGCAGATGTCCCAGCTACCGGAGCCGGTGTTTCCAGATGGCTGGACTCAATGAGTGGTGACCTTCACCGTGTCCAAATACACTCTTTTGAACCACGGAATTATTTACACGATGATTCTGTCGGGTAGAAGCAATTCTATGGAGGTAGCGGTAATTGACTTCGCAAAGTCGCCGTGCATTCTGAGCTCAGGAAGGCCAAGTTTATTTCATATCTGATAAAAAAGTAGTTTAGGGCTAAATACCAATACAATAAAAACAATATCGACAAAAGAAAAAAAGATTTTCTCACTGACTGACTTACATGATACTCTGTTAAATCATCTAAGACGGCTTTTTGTTGTTGCTTCAAGTTGTTCAACTCTTCACTGCGTGCTTGTTGATGATGACCAGCTGGTGATGAGGCTGATTTCAACTTCTCTGCCTCTAAAATATTATTCTATAATTTTATTAAATTGCATAGAGAGGAGAGAGAAAGTGAACAACGACAATTAATATCCGATGAAAGTACAAAGTGTAAATAGTGGTTATACTTTTAAAGTGACACACATCAGTTAGAGAACCCATGAAAGCCAACAAGTAGTACTGGACAGTTGTTTCATCCTTGTTTTGATTCCCGCACAACGCTGAAGAGTTAAAAACAAGGCTGATACCGATGTCCAGAACTCTCTGCTGGCTCTCAGTGATGCTCTAACTGACATCAGTCTGTGATCAGACTTGATTTTGGTAAACATCGGTTTAAGCGTATTCTCATATTAAGTCCCCGAAAGAAAGAAATTCAATATGATTTTGTACCATTGGTTAAGAGTTTCATATTTACATTGGTAAGCAATGAAAACTATATCCTCAACCAACAATAATATCCTGTGACTACTGTACTACTGTACTCTTTAGTACTTTTCAGTCACTTTATAATTTACATCGAGGATTTCATCATGAGCTGACATCAGTTAGAGAAACACTGGAAAACCTAGTAGTGCTGGACAGCTATTTCGTCCTAGTTTGGGACTCCCCAGCAGTACGCACCCACCGCCAGGGTTCGAACCCACGACCAGGTTAATTGCCTGAATAGGGCCAGTCACTAGTGAGCAGCCGTGGGAAGCCAACCAGTAGGGTACAGCAGGTTGAAGATGAGGCAGTAACTCGTCGAAGAAGACATTGCGAAATGGCCGCGCTATGCCGTGAATTGGCAGAAGTTACAATTCAAGAAAGATTAGATCGGGTCCCAGTGGCTCAATGATTTACGAGCTCGAATTGTAACCAGAAGGTCGTGGGTTCGAACCCTGGCGGTGGATGACTACTGCTGGGGAGTCCCAAACTAGGACGAAATAGCTGTCCAGTACTCCTAGGTTTTCCAGTGGTTCTCTAACTGATGTTAGCTCATGATGAAATCCTCTATGTAATCAAACAAAAATCCCTACAAAACCAATACTTGAAAACTTTATTATTTGTTTTGAAAACAAAATATAAGGCGACCCTCACAATGAGCTAAGCTTATAGTGTGGCAGCAGTTCTTAACTAACTGCACAAGCCGTGATAGATGAGCCACAGATTGAAAACCGAGTAGTTAATCTGATGAGTGGGGTAGCAGAGCTACTTCTTATTTACTTCAACTTGTCTGTGTGCTCTAAGGTGAATTCTAAACATCCATCATGTGGATGTTGATGGATATGATAGCTTATGCCATAGACACTATACATACCGTAACAAGAAAAAGCAACACTATTTTATTTTTTTTAAGTGTTAGTTTGTAGAAATTTGATTGTTTTGAAGTTTGGTCACGGACTGATATTAGTTACAGAACCATTGAAAATCAGCAAATAGTACTGGACATTTATCTTGTCCTAGTTCGGAACCCTTCAATAATCTGCACGTATGACCCCACCAGGAGTAGAACCACGGGACCTTCAAGCAACGAAGTAATCTCGTTGACCATTTAGCCACAGGGACGGAATCCCATGGCTCATGAATTCAAACTTCTAGCTTTAATCCTTAGTGGGGTCATGAGTGCGTACTACTGACGAGTCACGAACAAGGCTGATACCGCTGTCCAGTACTCTCCTGTCGTTTTCAATGGTTCTCTAACTGATGTCAACCTGGTATTAAACTTGAAATCAATCGAATCCCTACGAAGCAACCCTTAAAAAATTAATGAGACGCTCACTAGTCACTGACAACAGGACGAAGTTTCCCGGAATCCTAGTGAATAGCCGTGACCAACGGGGTCCAGCAGGATGGATGTGAGAACATCTGTTCGCTTATGACAATGACTTGCAATGAAGCTAAATCAATCGATCAATATTTCCAAAGATTTCATTCCTTAAACTACTTATTAGTCTAAGTATGGGGACTATGATCCAGACTCATCCAATTAAACCTTAATCAATAGGGAAACGATTTGAATGGCCGGATTCAACATAGAACTTGGCACCGGAGTGCAACAGATCAAGTTGCCACGTTCCAAATAGCACACAAAGGTAGACAAGAAAATGAGTGAAGAGAATCAATACAGTTTTGACAAGTATAAGAGTGAAACAGAATGAGTAATGGTAGAAAGGAATATGAAAGATTACAGAGACTAAATACATCTGCGTAAGCCATTGACAACGATTTTGAGCCATGTCACCTATTGCCTCCAGCCATTGATTCTTAGAGTCCCGAGGGCCCCAACCCGGAAGTCTGCATCTCCCTACCTGACTCAGTTTAACTGTCAGGAATTTCATGGATTGATGAGGCCATGTTTTTGTTTGGCCACCACTTACTCTTTTCCAACCTGCACCTATATCAGCTAGTAATGCCCACCGGAGTGGGGAGGCGATGGTTAGGCATACGCAGCACGTGACCTAGCCATCTCAATCTATGTAACTTTATAGCCTCTTCGATTGATTGATTTTCCCTCTTTGCCCAACACTCTACGCCTAACGTCAACATCACTTACCTTATTATGCCACCTAACGTGAGAAAGAAATCGTAGACATCTATGATCAAAAACAGTCAACCTTTTCATGTCTTCAACTCGTATTGGCCATGTTTCAGAGCTATAGAGAAGGACGGAGCGAAGTGCTGAGCAGTACACACGTCCCTTGGTTGATGGTCGGATGTCACGCATACGCCAGGGATGGCGTAAGTTAGCGAAAGCAGCCCGAGCTTTTTGGATCCGTGCTGAGATTTCGTCACCAATCAATCCGTTGGTGCTGATACAACTTCCCAAATAGGTGAAGTGGTTAACATGCTCTATCACTTCACTCCCTATCACTAAGCTAGAAGTTGACATAGTCCAGTCCTGTAGCAGCATCTTACATTTTATAGGAAACGACTTGAATACAGGAATCGCAAGGTGAACCCTAAAGCACTAAAATATTATATTTTTGGAATCTTTTTGTATCGAAAACAGATGATTTATTATGACAGTTGTGATAAGCTTAAGTGAATAACGTTACTCATCAAAAGTAATTAGTTTTGCTGCACTATAGCACACGTGAAGTAATCATGACGAAGATCGATAAAAACTGAATAACTTTAAATTACAGTACAAATGAATGTCATCTTATGCACCAAACCAAAAATAAACAATCAATAAGATTTTAATATTATGATTAGGCAATCTCTTTTCTCTACTTATCTGAGCTAAACGTCAGCTCATGATAGGCAACTGACGTAGTTACTGGAGTGGCGTTCATATGCTTCCATTAAAATCCAAAACAATCTCCACAAACAACATTGATAGAGTTAACTGTTTGTCTAATTACTTTGAAATTTATTTGAAACTGTTACACCTGGTTATTAGTGAAATATTCAACTAGTTAAAGATGCCTATTAAAAATTTCGAAAGGTGGATTAACGAAAAAAGAATACTGTCTTCGAGAACTTCTCCACTAGGTTCTGTAGCTCTATCTGTTATTCTTAATAGTAAAATAAATGTTTTAAATAACATAGAATCCACAATATGAATATAAATTACAGTTCTCAAAGCATACGTATGTGATAACATGCATTGTTATAACACTCAATTGAATATCAGATAAATTAAGAGAAATGGGACGGGATTTATGAATTTATAGGTTCTGCAATAGGTCAGGGTACCAACAGTGGCTGGACTTGTTTCTTTTGCACTCAGATCTTCGACCGATTTAAGCGAATTGCAATGGCCTCTACTGCTGGCAGTATTTGGCGCTTAGAGGCCTTTTACAGTTTAAACTAGGTAGTCTAATATCTACCATAGTATTTACTACACCGTTATTTGATCACAGTATAAGGTGTTTCCAAGTAAGAAAACCAATGTTCTTAGAACGACAGTAAATATAACTGGCTCCACAAGAGCAGTTGAATGAATAGATACAAGAAGACGTGGCTAGCCTAGGTAATTCGTCTTTCTGCTTCGGAATCACAAATGGTCCTTTGGAAAATACTAGCTGTAGTTTATTATTATTATTGTCTCCTTTAGTTCCTAGAGGAACATCTCCATTGCGTTCGGTTCTCTACCAACGTTTTCACCTGGCTCCACATCTGCCCACATGCTTTCATCTCCTCTTCACATGACCTCCTCCATGTCACCCTCGCACTGACGACTAACTCGCCGCTTCCCATTCGGGTTCCATTCAAGTAATGGCCTGGCGTGTGATGTCACTTGATGTCCAATCCACTTCCATTTCTTCCTGCAGATTTGTTGCACAATTGGTTCCTGTTGGGTTGGTTCGCTCCCAGCGATCCCTGTTGCTGATCTTTTCTGGCCGGCCATCTGATCTTGAGTAGTACTGAATGAGGACAGCTGTTGATGAAAGTCTGTAATTTGTTCGAAGTGCCTTTCGTGACAGTGCTTTGAAAGGTTTTTTCCCCAACATATTGGTTATTATTTCACTTGGTATGTTACTTTTAAATTGCGATTGAATTTACAGAGGTTTCTTGTTTACGGAATAATTCTTTTTGACTTTCTTCACCATGTGTTTCATGATGAACTTTTCTGGATAGCTATTTTCAATTAACTTATCATAAACAACATTCCTATGTTTATCTTTAATTATACCTTGCAAACATATAGCTCTGATTCTGTAACTGAGGTTCTTAAACAAACTGATGCATAATATCACTTACACATATGCTTTTCAGTTGTAATCGACTGATACTATTGATTAAAGACATGAAAAGGTTGACTGTTTTTGATCATAGATGTCTACGATCTCTTTCTCACGTTAGGAGGTGGTATAATAAGGTAAGTAATGTTGACGTTAGGCGTAGAGTGTTGGGCAAAGAGGGAAAATCAATCAATCGAAGAGGCTATAAAGTTACATAGATTGAGATGGCTAGGTCACGTGCTGCGTATGCCTAACCATCGCCTCCCCACTCCGGTGGGCATTACTAGCTGATATAGGTGCAGGTTGGAAAAGAGTAAGTGGTGGCCAAACAAAAACATGGCCTCATCAATCCATGAAATTCCTGACAGTTAAACTGAGTCAGGTAGGGAGATGCAGACTTCCGGGTTGGGGCCCTCGGGACTCTAAGAATCAATGGCTGGAGGCAATAGGTGACATGGCTCAAAATCGTTGTCAATGGCTTACGCAGATGTATTTAGTCTCTGTAATCTTTCATATTCCTTTCTACCATTACTCATTCTGTTTCACTCTTATACTTGTCAAAACTGTATTGATTCTCTTCACTCATTTTCTTGTCTACCTTTGTGTGCTATTTGGAACGTGGCAACTCGAACTGCTGCACTCCGGTGCCAAGTTAATTGTTGAATCCAGACAGACAGATACTTTTGATTTAATGTCATTTAAATAAAACAAAAAACATTAATGTTGTTAACAACAATAGTTATTTGACTCTTATGAATGTGTAAAACTGTTAAACATAACAAAGAAGCAGCTATTGAAAAGAATAAATATTCTTCGTTCACTAATCAGTTTCTTTTTCGAAATATCAAGTTCCAATAAACCATAGTAACAGTTAATAGCTAACAACTGTCCAGTAGTTGGTATACAACTCAATACTCATAAATGAATGTACCTAATTAACACGCAAATCTTATTGTTATTCAATAACCACGAGTAATTGTTCTATGCATTTGGCAATCAGCCACACTTATTGCATAAAGGCCTGGTTCTATTGCTCAGGGCTACTCAGACTTCGATGCATGGAACAGGAATGGACTTGTGACCCACTGTGGCGAGTGTTACTGATAACATTTATCAGTAGTATATTTAAAGAGACGTTCATCGGCATAAAAACATCAAACAGCATGGAGATATATTTGATGCTAGAGAAGGCAAATGGTACAGCGTTGTGGAGATGCACGGGAGACGTGAAAGGAACACACAAAAAAACACAATATGAAGGCCAGAAGTACCACAACACGAAGATCTGTGCAAATTGTGAGTTGAAGATAAGGCGTACATAATTTGCCTATATATTTAGAGATACCAATTTTCAAATAAACATTCCTTTACCGAGTCTTTCGTCTTCTACCGTTTCACCGCTTGGTTGGAAGTCCAGAGATAAGGCCAATAACCCAGAGCTCCACTAAGTAACGCACACACACACACACACACACATTGATAAACAGAAACTGTTTAAACCGAGACAGGAATGATTATCATCAGTAGATGAGGGGGAGATAGAGATGCAGTTATAAAAATAGTTAATTCCCAAAGAGAATAAAATAAAACAAAACAGTTTTAACGTCAGACTGCCAACTGCTTAATTCAATTTTAGATTTTCCCGTCGATTGATTGGACCGAAGTGCTCGGTCTCAGGTTGACATGTCGGCTTCTTGTGCAGATGCTTCGACGATGTCTGGGCATGTAATTAGAAGTGAATTGGTGGATGGTGACTAGCAGTGGAATCCAGGATGCGCATTTTGTCCTATTTGGGACTCATCATCTGGATGTGCCTGCATTCCGCTTTTGGCGTTTGGAACTATGGGCACTGGGTTCAAGTCTCGGTGGGAACATCATCACTCACTGCGTTGTGCAGGTACATCCAGCTGGCGAACGAGTCCGAAATAGGACGAAATGCGCATCCTGGATTCCACTGCTAGTCACCATCCCCCCACCAATTAACTTCAGACTTCTAAGACTATAAAAAAAGAATAAAGTAAAACCTACCAATTCTGTAATACGTTTTTCAAATGCTAATAATTTTTCATTTGCAGATTTTTCTTGTTCTGTCAATTGTTTATTGAGTTGTTCAATTTCATTTTTCAGTTTAACAACTAATTCATTATTCTGTAGTTTTAATGCATTATTTTCATCTTTGAAGGCTTGCATTTCACTGAAATCAACACCCAAAACAAAACGAAAAAATAAAAATAAAACATTTACATACAACATAAAGGTTATCATTGTTTTCTTTGAAAAGAAAATATACATTGATTTGAGAGTCTAAAATATTCAGTTGCCGTATGAACTGAAAGTTGCTCTGAACGAGGAACATTCCTCTTCAACAAATTCTCTTCAGATTCTTACAGTTATAAAATATGATTACGAATTCAAAAGCAGAATAGTTACAAGTTGTAAGAAGTGAGAAACGGGTTGAGGTGAACGCAATTACAAAACAGCTCAAACTGTTCTTGTGTATCACGTTATCAAGACGCTACGATTAAGCAGGTTCGTCTACAGATTTGAAAACATTTGCCAGCCTCGTTCAGAAATGGTACGCATCTTTATCAGATTGAATGAATCTTGAGAAAAGCATAAAGGGTATGAAGCTTCCTTATGAGAAGAGACTGGAACACCCAAACCTCTTCTCACTATACCGCCGAAGGATAAGAAGTGATTTGGGTGTTGACCATTCTAACATTTTTTAGTCCTTCCAGGAAACCTTTGAGAGGTCATCACAAAAAGGTGCTCAAACCGGGGAGTAAAAAAGTACGTGTGGAATTTAGATTCTCACATAAGGTGATCAACGACTGGAACTCCTTTCTTAATCAAGTGATATCAACTTCATCGGTGAGCGCTTTCAGAGAGAAATTGGATTACTGGAGAGTTACACATTACAAAGATCAACACAGGCTATAAGAGCCTATGATTCTTTATCATCAGAATCTGGATTTGAAGACATTTATCAGCCTGGTTAAGAAAGAACAGATATCTTTTATAAAAATGAACATCATGTATACAATTATATATGTCCAAACCAAGTTCACTTTTAACGGTTTGAAAAAATTTGGGCATTGGGTATATGATATTCATCATAATAGAGGTTTTTGTATTTCCCAATGAATGAAAAACAAAACGATATTGTTTTTACTGACGTTTCGCTATTTAATGTTAATGGCTTTATCAAAGTATTATTAAACCGGAATTTACAAACTGTTAGGGGGTGAGAAAATAGACATAGGTCAAGTTAAAGGGACATATTGAAAGTAAAAATAGCGATGAAGATAACTAAACCAAATAACTAAGGTAAAAGTATGTCTGTTATGATATCAAAATAAAGTTTAATAACTTAATCATCGTTCGTCTGTCTGGGGGCATTTTTTAGTTGTCAAGTTGGTGAATTGGTAAAGATAACAAAACCATCATCTGTAGATTGTTGGATTTGATAAGTGTATAAGATTATAAAAGCAGCGTGTGTTTACATAATGAAAGTGCTTATCACATTCGTGTTGGTTTTGTCACTTGATGGGGGGAGGAAGGTGTTGTAACCAGGTCAGATTCTGTTTTAGTCCATCATTCCTATTCAGGCAATTTTGATTCCACTTGATATGAAGTGCTTCTGATATTAGACGTTCTTTGTGATTTCTGAAATGCTTTTTCTGGATTATTTCAACATTGTCAAAATCAATTTTGTGACCTGATTCTATAGCATGTAGACCTATGGCTGATGATTTTTCAAGTCTTTGTAGTTCAACAGGATTTCTCGGTGGTCGAAGAGATGCACTACGGTGTTCATTTCTTCTGATTTTGATTTCTCGAGATGTTTATCCGATGTATATCGCATCACATTCCAAGCATTCTATTTTATAGACACAATTAGATAGAGAATCTTTAGGGATTTGGTCTTTTATATGGACAAGGTTGCTTCGAAGTGCGTCTGATGTTTTGAAGAAAACTCTAATGTCGAGCTGATTGAGTACTCTTCTGATATCGTCTGAGGTCTCTGCTCTATATGGAATGACGACTGTTGATGTCCATGTTTTCGGAATGCGTTTTCGGCTATACTTAATGTCTGTGTTGATTTTGTTGATGAAGTTCCATGGGTAGTTGTTTTGCTTGAGAGTTTCAGTAATGTTTGATATTTCTTCTTCTTTTTCTTTCTCGTCGGTTATCAGAGTGTGCTCGTCTAAGAAGACTTGAAACAACTGAAATCTTTGAGCTGATGGGTTGTGATGACTTGAAGTCTAAATATTTATTTGAGTGGGTTTTCTTCCTGAATATGGATATACTAAAATGTCCGTTTTCCCTTCTCTTAACTAGGCAGTCTAGAAATGGTAGTTCACCGACGTCTGATTCTGCTTCCGAAGTGAATTGGATTCTGGGAGATACATAGTTTATTTCCTCCAGGAACGAATTGTGTAGATCTCGTTTTAGTATTACAAAAGTATCATCTACATATCTTAACCATATTTTAGGAGTGAGTATGCTTGAAAAGATGTTATTTTCGAATTTATTCATGAAAAGGTCGGCGACTATTGGGGAGACTGGTGAACCCATAGCAACACCACTTGTCTGTCTATATAAATTCCCTTTAAATGTAAAATAATTATTTTCTAGACAGAATTTTAAGCTCTTAATTATTTCACTGGTGTCCAGTGGACATCTTTGTGATAGCGTTGTATCTGATTCTATAAGACTGGAAATGATATCAAGACTTTCAGTAATGGGGATACTAGTATGTAATGAGTTAATATTATAGCTTACCATAATGTCTTCTTTATCAATTTCTCGGTGTTCTATTTGGGATTTGAAATCATATGAATTTCTCACAATATTTTGAGTGTCCTTTTGTAGTGGTTATATATATGCTGAGATTTTGTAAATTCCGGTTTATAATAGTACTTTGATAAAGCTATTAGCATTAAATAGCGAAACGTCAGTAAAAACAATATCGTTTTGTTTTTCAATCATTGGGAAATACAAAAACCTTTATTATAATCATGTATACAATGTTCAATCTTTTTTTCAAACGATTATATCTGAACTTGGTTGAGACCTCTAAATCATGAATTAGCATACAAATTATTCTCCTCTAACACTATATGAATTTATGATGACGATTTGTCATTTTCATCCATTTCACAAAATTCTCTAATCACATTCAACTCATCATATCTGTCATTTAAGTACTTACTATAAGGGCTTGTCACTCTACAACTTGAAAATCATCTGATTTTAAATCTGTAATCATTTTCGAAACTGAAGTGTATTCACTATACATACCCAGTTTTTATTATTATAATGATAAGTGTAAGAAAGTGAAGAGAATTTGGTAAAAACAAATTACATTGAGTCGATAAATGAAATGCATTCACCGAAGGTGCATCTACCAATTTAAATGTACCCACCAAAGCACATACATTGAAAGAAGAGAAGGAAAGGTTATCGTTTGCATATATCAAAAGAACCTGTGACGAAACAGTCAATACGCATTAAACAAGGCAAATGTATGTCATCTATTGGACACTAGTGGTCATATTGTGGGCAATCTTAAGACGTTCAAAATAATCAACAGGCTAACGAAATCTACCTTGCCACATTTTGCTGAAGCGATCGGCATTAGACAGTTGGAACTAAAACTATTTACGCATAAAGAGACATTGGTGAACCTTACACTACTGTGGTAATTAAACTTAGTAAACAAAGTAATACAATTTTTATTATGTCATGTACTGTTCTATATCTTCTATTCTTTTTGGAAAATTTTGTTTTCTTTTCACCTGAACGTCACTCATCTTACTCCTTTTTTGCTATGTTTTAAAAGATATTTTTGGAGTTACGTAACCCATTTTACTGACATGCACTTTCTAGCTAAAAAAATTTCTAAATAAAGTATTAAAATCTGTCTTTTTTTAGGTATATTCCTCTAAAATCCTATAAATTGTCAATCCTATTATTATTATTTATTATTACTGGGTTCCGAATGGAACGTAGGGCTTCAGCAACACATCTCCACTTTGTTTTTTTCTGCTGTCCTCTTCAGCTAGGTTGACGATTGCCCATAATCTCTCATTTCCTCCATGTCACAACAGGACGACCTACTCGTCTCTTCCCATTCGGATTTCACTCGAGCATTGGCCTGCATTGCGTGCAATGTCGTTCGACGGCCTCCTAAACGCATGGCCAATCCATCTCCACTTTCTCCTACATATTCGTCAAGCAGTCAGCTCTTGGTTGGTTCGTCACATTCCAGAGTTTCTTATTGCTATTTCTCGCTAGCCGGCCACTTGATCTTCAATATGGAGCCAGCGAAGGTAGCAGCTGTTTATAAAAGCCTGCAACCTGTTGGAAATGCTATTCGTGACACGCAGTGCAAGTTTCCGACCAGTATAGAAGAACTGACTGTCTATACATTTGTGTTGAAAACCCGAATCTTGTTGTTTATGCTGGCTGAGTTAGTGCAGAAAATTTCCAAACTGGTTTCAGATTGATGAAGGCGTATCCTTCCTTTCCGTTTCTGTCTGGCTAGCTTTAACATTTCATCCGTTCCGCCTGCTTGTGGATGAAACAGTGCTTCCTGACCAGATAATCTCTTCCGTTTGTGGTGAATGCTGCTGGTTGTTGTTGTTGTTGCTGCTGTTAGCTGCTTATCTTCATCACCTCCGTCTTCTCTAAATTCACCTGAAGTTCTGTCTCCACTGCTTGCTACTTCTGCCAGTTTGCTGGTTTTCGCCTGTAAGTCTTCGAGTTTGTGTGACATCAGACATAAATCATCCTAACGCGAAATTCAGATCTTCCGGAGTCTTCTTATCGGTGGTCCAGTGTGGTCCTCACTCCTCATTCCCAAGCACAGTCTGAGGCATAATCCAGTCCACCACAATTAAGATTACAATCGGTGATAATAGGCTGGCAGCCTTGTTTTACCCCTGTATTCACTTTGAACGCATCGCTAAGTTTTCCGTTGTGGATCATGTGACACGTGGCATTGTCATATAGCTGTTCAATGAGATGGAACATAGAGCTTCCGCAGTACACCTACATTTCACTCTATTCTCTACAGTTATTTTTACCTGGCTACACAACTTCCCACAAGCTTTCATTTCCTCCTCACACGACATACTGCATGCCACACTAGAATTCGCACATATTCGGGATTCACTTGAGGGGCTGGCACATGATGTCACTCAACTATCCTCTCAGTGTGTATTGGATCTATCTCCGTTTCTTTCTTCATATTTGTTGGGTTATGGGTTCTTGGTTGATTCGCCACCAGAGTTCCCGGTTGCCTGTGTATTCTCTCCCGATCAGCCATCCCGTCTTTAGTATGAAGGCAGAAAAGGCAGCTGTTCATAAAGATCTGCAGTGTGTTGGAAATGCTTCTAGTAGAGAGCCCACCAATTCTTTTAATCATACAGACAGCGATATGATATTAGTGTTGGAAATCTGAATCGTGTTACATATGTTGAGTACAGTAGATCTCCACAATGAGTGTAGGATAATGAAGGTTAGTCTGACATCCTCATGTGTGCCACCGCTTGTAGTTAAAATGATGCTGCACAGAGAGGTAAGTGAAAGAGACGACTTCTTTTAGATTTCTTACGTTGTTGGTGATTGGTGTTTATTTCTGTCGACTAGGTATATTCATCTCCCCTGTATTCGCTACGTTCACTAGAAGCCTTTCTGATCCTTACCACCTCTTCGACCAAATAGTTGGTTTCCGCTTGTAAATCACAAAGTTTGTGTAACATCCGCGAAGTCCAAATCTTCTACAGACTTTTTTCCCTACCCACGGTCAACGGCCTGATCTGCGTTCAACCTTAGAACTGTATTCCATGTGTTTGAGCCTTATAAATACACAGAGTGTTAGATAAAAGTATCATGGAAAGTAAATCGAAAATCTCAGTAACAGATAGAAAAACCAGATAACAATTAGGATACTACAAACGAAAAATTATTTTTATAGAAAATCAAAAGAATTACCAAAAAACAATGTAGGAGACTTACATAGACGAGTGTTCTAATTCACTGTTCAACTTTTTAATCTGTTCATTGAAATCAGTTGTCAGGGATTGGATTGTTTCAGATTGTCGTTTCAACAAATCTTCTGCTTCAGTTTGACGTTCAGCTAACAGTACACGTAAGCGTTCGCATTCTTCTTTTAAAGTTTGTTCATCTTTTTCATTCGGTGGAATAGACACCTCTGATACAACTTCAGTACGTTGAAGAGATTGATCCTATCGAGAGAAAAAAAGTATTCATAAATACTTAAACTATTTCACTTATATTATCAATGATTATCATGGAAATGCCCTTCAGTCAAGCAAATGAACTCTATGAAATGAAAACAACAGCAATAATAAGATAAATATCAGATATCTACTGTATTTCAACAGCTATATATATATATACATTTCTTTACGTTCCCAGTGGAACATAGGGCATTAAGTTTCTGTAGCAGTGGCGATTATTATTTTTACAGGATGGGGTTGCTAGCCTCATGCCCAACCTTCCCTCTTTACCAGTCTTACTACTGGCTTAGCAAGGTAAAGGAGTGCATCGGCCGAGAATCGAACCCCGAATCAGATGGGGCGTGGTTGGCGAGAACTCTACCGTTGTGCCACCGACGCATACAGCTGTATATACATATACATATTTGATGTTACAACTCAGCTAGTGGAGATGAGCTTCAGTGAATTAAGCACTTGACGTTTAGTCAATGAATGGCGGGTTCGAGTGCCGCTCACTATACTTCAACCTGAATTACCTAAGGAATGGACAATAGAGGATACTTTTTACTAATCTTCTGGTAGATCCTGCAAAACCTGGACTGTGTACAAATGTAAGAGGCCTTCATTTTATTTTATTTAAACTGAGGGCTGATTTCAACGTAAAACTCTGCACAGATGTGCAGAAGTTCGAGTCGCCCAAGAACTATTTATAATGAGGAGAAGTGTGAGGGAGGAAAAATGGTACCATGGAAAAACATGATGTTTTAGTGGATCTGAGAGGTTGAAAAGATAACATTCATCTGCTCCATTGACAATTTTAAGCCACATCACCAACAGTCTCCAGTCCATTGGATCTCAGTGTATGGAGAACCAGGCACTACACAAATTGGTATTCAGCTGCAGTTTCTGACTGACTGGTTTCAACCTAGAACTTTAGACAAATGTGCACCAGTTAGAGTTGCCACACTCCCTCCATGTAGCAAACAAAGCAGGAAAACGGGGTATAGAAAGATTCAAAAGAGATAATGGACATAGATATAAGGCAAAAAGAGTAGTAATAGAGAAGAACAATAGAATTTTGTTGGATATTATAAACCACAAGGAGCGGATGCATCTTCGCCAGCCATTGAAAACGATCACTTCGAGCTATATCACCAATTGTCTTTAGCCTTAATTGGTTCTTACCATCCCGAGAAACCCAACCAGGAAGCCAGTCCACACCTCTCTACGTGACTGGCTGGCTTAAACTAACTGTTTCGGATTTCATTGATTGATGAAGCCATGTTTTGGTTTGACCACTACCACTAGGTGTTTTCCACCCTGATCCTATGCAAGCTAGCATTGCCCGTCGATCGACGAAAGCGATAGCTAGATATGCGTAAGATGTGTCCTAACCATCTAAATCGGTTTAACTTCACAACCTCGTCAATTGATTTCCCCTCGGCATCTAGCACTCGACTGAGGCCTAACCTCAATATTGCTCACCCTATTATACCACTTAACACAGGAGATAGAACGCAGACATCTATGATCAAACAAAGCTAGCCAGAATTTTCATGTCTCCCACTTTCAATGTCTTTGTCTCACAGCTGGCCATAAAGGAGGACGGAGAGGACTGCTGAGAAGTACACCCGCCCTTTGGTCGATAACCGGATATCACGTCTACTAAGCCAGAGACGACGTAAGTTAGCATATGCCAAACGAGCCTTCTGTATTCGTATTTGTTCAAACACAGATTTAGTACGTTATAGGCACACAATAATAATTCAACAATATATATATAGTTAATAAGAAGAACGAATTATGGACGTCATCTAGAAAGCAAGCACAAATAATTATCAGGATCATTCAACATTCACCACTTCATGTTACTTTCAGAAAAGGAAAAGAGGAAATTGCTGCATCTTCGCCACTGATCGCGACTTATAACCGTATCTGGTAACGTCTTGAACCAATGACTCAAATTATCTCTCACACCCAAACCGACGAGTTGTAATATACACCAACTCATGGTAACCTAACAAAAACGTTCTTTAACTCACGGCGCAACTCCACTCGGCGACCATCTCTACACTTTTCCATCAAGCCTTTAGGATGACATTTGTATCAGCACATGTCCCAGCTACCAGAGACGGTGTTTCCAGATGACTGCACTCAATGAATCGTGACTTTCACCGCGTCCGAAAACACTCTTTCGGACCTCGGAATCACTTACACAATGATGCTGTCGGGTAGAAGCAATTCTACGGAGGCAGCGATGATTGACTACGCAGAGTCAACGCACATCCTCAGCTTGAAGAGAGCAATTTCACAGGTGTAGTATAGCAATACTTCGCGTATCGAAACATTGTAAACCCAACCTCTAACAGCCAGACTAGCGTCACGACGGCACCAGAGGTGGTCTCAATTGGCGCATGTCATCCTAGCTTTCATTATAAGATTAGAGATTTCACTTGTCACACCTCCACCAGCAATCACACGACTACCTAGATACACGAACTTGTCGACAACTTTAGGCGCTTCACCCGCAAGGGTAAGTGCATTTACATGAGTCACATATCTGAACTAAAAACTGCCTGGTGAGAAAAGCTTTCAAACCATAGGACTATATCTACTAGTGAGTAATTTCCATACATTAAGCCTATCTAGACGAATCTCTACAAGAAAATATTCTAGCGCCACATTTAAGTGTGTCCAATCCAAAACAAGCAATAAAAAACACCTAGATTCTCTAGTCATTGCTTCATAACAATCCGACTAGGTAACTCACACCTTTCCTCGCAAAAACCTAAAGTGATGCTAATGTTCAAAGTTGTCTGGAGTTCTAGTGAGAAGTAATGACCAGTGGTGGTGGTTCCACAAGGTCGGTTGCGACAGCAAATGTTCGCCATCGCCAACACTGACTGGCGATGGAGTTATGTGTATCGCGAATTGGCAGAAATTAGAATTCATCGACTGTCTATTGGATTCCGTCAACGTGGCTAAGTGGTTTCAGGTTCGAATCCTAGTAGCATCATGAGTGTGCACTGCTAAAGAGTCCCAAACTAGAAATAAACAGCTATCCACTAGTCCCTGGTTTTTAACCCATGATCTAACTTGCAGTCAATCAGATCCCTGTAAACCAACACCTGAAAATGAAACTTCTTTCAATGATGAAAACTCTGTTCAGAGTGAATTCAATAAATGTACATCATGGTATCTACACTGATCTGAAGAGAAGTTTTCATCTTATGAAGTGATTCTATTGAAGGAAACTTGAATTTTTGAGAAAGAAAAAAATGTACTACATATACAATTTATATTGTTTACCTTATGCAGAAAAAAAATAGTGAAATAACCATTCTAGTCTCTTGTTTAAAATCGATTATTATTATTATCATTATTATTTTTTTTTTTATGATTAGTAGCTATTGCACTTAAATAAAACTGTATACACACAGATTGGCATATCTACTTTTGTCGTATGTGATTCATTACAAATTACAACCTACAGCTACACAAACACACCACACACACACACACAAAAGCACACGAGCACACAAGCAAGTACACAGATGATGTAAGTAGAAGAATTCAATCTAAACTCATAGCATGATTATAATGAAAGTGAGTAAAAGAAGATACCATTGATCAATACTATTATGACTGACAAAAATGCGGTTTATTAGTGTATAAACTATTTGAGAAATGATGGTGTTTTGGATCAGTGATTGATTGTAGACACAACAATAACAACCCAGAGGCTACACACAGCATGCAAGAACAAACACAATACTGTCAAGCCATCCATCACACAATGGATTCACACTATCATTCAGCTAATTCAGAGAATGGCATATTCCCTAGCCTGATAGATTTCACATGTTGTTATTTGATGAATGGTGACTAGCGGTGAAACCTAGGATATACATTTCGTACTATTTAGGACTCGTTAGTCTGGCATATCCAGATTCCCAGTGAGTGATGCAGGTGTTCCCGCCTAGGCTCGAACCCAGAACCCATTGGTCTCAAATAACAACAGGTTAGTTATCAGACATCATCGAAGTGTTCTTACTAAGAGCCGACATGTCAACAGAAACTGTACCTTTTAGTGGACTATAATCAGCCAGTGGGAAATACGGAAATTAAATTACTTCATTCAATTTTAGATTTTCCCGTCGATTGATCCATCGCACCGAATGCTCGGTCTCAGGTTGACATGTCGGCTTCTTGTGCAGATGCTTCGACAATGTCTGGGCATGTAATTAGAAGTGAATTGGTGGATGGTGACTAGCAGTGGAATCCAGCTGCGAGTTCATCCACCAATTAACTTATAATTACATGCCCAGACATCGTCGAAGCATCTGCAAAAGAAGCCGATATGTCAACCTGAGACCGAGCACTTCGGTCCAATCAATCAAAGGGAAAATCTAAAATTCAATTAAATAATTAATATGACCCATTGCACAAGAAGTGGCTCTTGTGGCCCAAGTGGTCTAGTGGAAAACGCTCTGGCGTTTGAAACTATGAGCACTGGGTTCGAGCCTCAGTGGGAACGTCATCATTCACTGAGGAATGTAGGTACATCCACTTGCTGATGAGTCCCAAATAGGACGAAATGCACATCCTGGATTCCACTGCTAGTCACCATCCACCAATTAATACGGTTTACCCCTAAGCTAGTGTCAAAGGGTAAGGGGTCAAATCAAATCGAGATTTCTTGACAAGGAACATCAGATTGTGGAGATGAAAATCAAAAAATGGAGGCGATGTCAACTAAACAAAACACAGAAGTCCTTGATTCGATCCTTCATAATGCTGAAAAGTCTCATACCTTGATTTTAAATGTGTCCTTTCTTACAAACATTATCGATGAATAATAGAATACAAAAGTACATTAAAAAGATGAAACTTTCAATACCTTAGCGGCTTAACAAAGTGGATGAGAAGAATATCTCTTTTTCCTACCTGCTTTTGTGATATACTTTCATTAAGTAGAGCTAATGTCTCCGGTGACTGTTTCTGTAAAAGATTATTCAATTCAGCTCGAACTTTATTCAACTCTGTTTCCATGCGTTCATTTGCTTCACGAGCTGACATTAAAGCTTCTTCTAATTCAAAGATTTTCGATTCATCATCAGCATTCTGTGATTCTAAAGTCGTCTTGTCAATATTCTCTTCTTCCATTCTAAATTGTAAATCTTCTAGATTTCTATGAGAAACAAATAAATAAAATAAAATAAAAAATTTTCAAGTATTGATTTGCAAGGATTTGATTGATTTCAAGTCTCATCACAAAATGACTTCAGTTAGAGAACTAGTTAAAAAACAAGGGAGTAGAGGACAGACGTTTCGTCATGCTTTGAGACTCTTCAGCAATACTTATCCACGACCCTATCACCAGGGTCTTTTAGGTCACACAGCGAACTCGTTTACTGTCCAGCCACCGGGAAAGAATCTAACATCCCATTCCTGGCTTTCGATGATCCTCTAAGTCATGAAGTCAATTCGTGATGAAAATTTAAACTAACAATGAAAACAATTAAATGATCAACCTTAAAACTTTTATACACAAAGTGATATTATTGATGTACACAAAAATACACACAAATGAACAACTGAGCAGTTTCATCTATGAGTTAAAAAAACATGGATATTCTAGGCTGGAAAAGATGGAAAGGAATTTGAAAGTGAGATACGTTTACGTTTAGCTGGAGGTAAATGACGAATCAGCAGATATGAACTAATCGTCACCTCGGTACAATACTTGCAGGAATAATAAATATATAACTAAGCATCGATTGTTTGTGAACACAATCTTATACAGAGCATCAAGAAAAACAATCGAATTTTCAACACTAATGTCACGTCAGTCCTCCTAATATCGTTCGGTTACCTGGAACACGCCTCACGAAAAGACTTTCCAACAGTCTTCTGCAAACGTTCACCAATCAACTGGCCTGTTCACTCTGTACTGAAGATCAGATGATGATCAGCCATAAGCAATAAGGAACTCTAGCAACGAATCAACCAACAATGTGTCGTTCAACATATATGCCGAAGGAAATGGAGGCGGATTTTACATACACTGAGGAAACGTTCGAGTGATATCATGTACTAGGCATATCCTCGAGTGGAATCCAAGTGGGAAGCGACGAGTTGGACATTGGTTCGAGGGTGACGTGGAGGGAATAGTGTGAAGAGGAAATGAAAGACTATGAGCAATCGTGAATCCAGCAAAAAGGACTGCAGAGAAGAGGAAGGAATGAAGATGTGCTGTTGAAGCCCAATGTGTCACTTGGAACCCAAGGGAAAAGTAATATTATTATTATTATTATATATCTATGACGATGGGCATCCCTGACAAACAACACTGGTAGTCACCGATTCAGATGAAAACTCTCCGTAAGCTCCTACATGGTTGTGAGGTCGAGGAGAGCTCCTTGATCAGTGCAGTATACTTCTTCGGACACGACAGCCTTTCATGGGTTTATTTCTCCAGACCTCTGCTCAGTTTACATATGACTAATGAACCCAGAACTATATTATTCAAACTTATTCCCTTATGATTATCACAGGAAGACTTGTCTCCTTTCTTATAAACTGTTACAATCAGTGATTTACACCAGTCTGATAGAAATATCTCTGATACCCAGATATTACCTAATACCCCAATTAACCCAGACAACCTCAAAATTACAGGACTGCCAAACAAACTATCTTATCTGTCTATCTTTCTACGAAAGCCAAAAAGCTAATAAGTACTGAGACTTGGTCTTTACTTTACTTTACTTCGGCTATCTCCTACGGGAGGATGAGCCGGCTTCATGAACATCTCGAATCATCGCTGCCCCGGCGCGGCGATCTGATGAAGAGAGTTCATGAAGTTTCATGGGAATTTGGTACGAGTGATGTCCCCAGAATCGCTCGGCCTTTTGTTTGAGAGTGCAGCTCTAGCCTTTGCACAACCGAGTGTGACCTACAAGGCAGTAGGAGTGGAGTAGAGAGTCCACTATCCATTGGCAACCGGTGACCGGAGTTCGGTTCATACGCCTTTTTGAATGGGGCCAGACATCCAGGACATCCAACAAGCCCTTTGCCCATACGTCTGTCGGTGAGCTCCAGTGAGCTTCATACGCCAGTCGTTGGAGGTTTGGAATCAGGGTTTAGCCATCCCCCTAGACTGTCATCCAATGGACAATCAACCCGATGAAGAGCGCCAGGCATCCGCTTTCGCCCTCTCACTTTGGTGAGAAACACCTCCGCCACGTGAAGGCAGTGAGTAGGACTTCCTCAGGAGAGGCTATGTAAGACGCCCGGTCATATGGGAGCATTTCAAGAGGTGTGCGGAGGGGTGGCCAACCCACAGCGCAAGACACCCACCCCCGGCCATCCTGAGGCTTTGGTCAACCTTCATCAGCCACCTCTACCTCCAAAAATAAATAAATACATCTGTACGACGAAAGAGGGTAGATTAACAAACGAATCATGAAAAGAATGTGAACTGAAATAATCTCCCGGTCATCAAATGTCGTCGTTGCATAGGACAGTTTTACTCAATAAAGAGTCACACAACAACATACAACAAAATGAAACCAAGAATTATACATAATACACAGTAAATTATAGGAATTATAGTGAATAGCAATCAACAAAATAAACCAACCCAAAGAAATGCAAAGTAGATAGGGAACTTTAAGAAAAAATTTGATTTGAAAGGAAACAATAACATAACATTTGAATGAAAAGTTTCACCTAGAATTTATGCTTCTTTATAACTAAGTGAATAGGAGTACACCTACTGTACTTGGAACAACAGTGAAAATGGAACATTTCACTGTAAGGTCAAGCACACACACACGCACAGATATATCGCAGGTTGATTATGCATTCATAGCAATTGTATGTTGTTGTAGTCAATATTTATGTTGTATATATAACTTCCTTTCTTGTTTAAGATATGTAAATTCACACATATTTCTTTAATTCTTTGTTTATTTGTTATTTTCTTAAATCAAGGTAAGAACAACAAGTACACCGAAAATTACTTATCTTTGTCATTAAATACATCTCGGTGATTTAATAGTAGAATGCTCACTTCGTGTGCTTCTGAAAGTGTGATGCTACAGGAGTGGATTACATTGACTCCTAGCTTAGAAATAGGGAGTGAAGTGGTAGAGCGTGTTGACCGCTTCACTTATTTGGGGAGTTGCATCAGCCAATGCCAGTGGGTTGATCGCTAACGAAATCTCAGCACAGATACAGAAGGCTAGTTTCGCATATGCCAGTTTACGCCATCTCTGGCCGTGTACTGCTCAGCAGTCCGTCCTTCCTTATGGCTGTGAGACATTGCCATTGAATGTGAAAGACATGAAAAGCCTGGCTAGCTGTCTCTGATCACAGGTGTCTGCGTTCTATCTCCCGTGTCACGTGGTGGTATAATAGGGTGAGCAATATTGAGGTTAGGCCTCAGTCGAGTGCTAGGTGAGGAGGGAAAATCAATCAACGAGGTTGTGAAGTTAAACCGATTGAGATGGTTAGGACACGTGTTACGCATGCCTAGCCATCGCCTTCGTCGACCGACGGGCAATGTTAGCTTGCATAGGGTCAGGGTGGAAAACAACTAGTGGTGGTGCAAACCAAAACATGTCTTCATCAGTCAATGAAATTCACAACATTTAGTTTAAGCCACGTAGGAAGGTGTAGACTGGCTTCCTGGTTAGGGTCCTCGGGATGGTAAACACCAATGGCTGGAGACAATTGGTGATATGGCTCAAAATCGTTCGCAGTGGCACAGATGCATCCACTCCTTGTGATTTATAATTTCCAATAAAACTATATTGTTCTTCGATATTACTATTCTTTTCGTCTCATATCGCTGTTCACTGTCTCTATTTTGCGTTTCTTTTTACTTTCTTCTCTTGCTTTGTGTGCTGAGTGAAGTGTGGCGACTTGAACTGCTGTACATCGGTGCAAAGTTCTATGTTGAAACCAGTCAGTCAGAATGCTCGCTTCGATTCGATTCGATTCCCCGACGATGCACTCCTAACCCTCGCTTAGCCTGTAGTAGGACCAGTAAAAGGGCTAGTTATCTTTGAACATGGATGTTTGCGTTCCATCTAAGCGCTATAACATGTTGAGTAATATTCAGGTTAGGCCAAGAATGCTAGGTTGGCATGACAAGTCGATCGACGAAGTTGTGAAGCTACATCGATTGAGATAGTTAGGGTACATGTTGACCATGCCGATGCACCGGCTTTCTAGACGAGCACAATTTCAGCTGATATAGGATAGTTTGGAGAAATGTTAGTAGTGATCGAACTAAAACCTGGAGTCAGTCTATGAAGTCTTTGATAGTTGGCTGGTATGACTCGAAATCGTCTTCAATGGCATAGATGCATTCACTTTTTGTAATCTGTCATATCGATTAAACCCACATGTTTTGCCATGTTACTATTCTTTCCCCCCCCCCCCCGTACATTTCTGCTCATAATAGTTCTTTTGAAATCCCTTTTTGTTTCTCTATCTCCTATGGTATATATGCAGTATGGCAAATTAGACTGTTGCACACTTCTGTGCAAAGTTTCATGTTGAAATTCGGTCAGTCGATCAGATCTGGTAAGCAAAAGAAAGGTTGGACATGAGGCAAGCAATCCCACACCAAATAAAATAAACACCACCGCTACTGAAAATTCAAAGCTCAAGCTTGGAGCTCTATGTTATACTGCAAACGCAAAGGATACTGGCATTCATTGACAAACTAACCCTTCTTAAGAAGCTCTATTTCAATTATACGCTAGCAGGGAAGATAAGTAAAGTGTTACAACACATCGTTCTATGGTACCGCGTGATAAACACTTTATATTCAAACACGTGATAACTTTGATTGGATGGAGGATTTCATCATGAGCTGACATTAGTTAGAGAACCATTGGAAAACCTGGGAGTACTGGACAGTTGTTTCGTCCTAGTTTGGGACTCTTGAACACTTCACATCCATAGGAGATTCATGGACCATTGGATCGGGTCCCAGTAGCTCAATGGTCTACGAGTTCCCCTTGTAACCAGAAGGTACTGGGTTCGAATCCCAGTGGGTGCGTACTGATGAAGAGTCCCAAACTAGGATGAAACAGCTGCCCAGCACTCCCAGGTTTTCCAATGGTTCTCTAACCAATGTCAGCTCATGATGAAATCCTCCATCCAATCAAACAAAATCCCTACAAAACCAATATGTGATAACTTTCACCAATCGAGTCATCTGAAAGTTAGAATGCTAACAAGACATCCCAGTTTGATAAGCAAGATGGTCAATGATTCATCCCCTGAAGCCAAGTGAAACTGACTCCCTCTTTAAACAAAACTGCCCTAAACGTCACAGTATTACGAAAAGGTGAAAACTAGATGAAAAGCTCCAGACAGAATAAATTGCTCCTCATAATCATTTTGTGATTGGTTGAAGTGAAGTCAGATGCATAAATACACCTAAGTTTGTTTTGTCGGTGGTGGTAATCGTGAAATAGTTGGATTATACACTTGGATTTGAAAAACGATACTTCATTGGTGATAATATCATATATTAAAAAAGAAATTTATGAAAAATTTGAAGATTTGCTCAGGAGCAATACTGTTAAAAACTCCTATAAACCAAATTATAAAAATGAACGTTCATCCACTGATTCCATAGGTTTTGTTGCATTAGCAAGTAGACTCAACTACTATACGATTAATGAAGCTGATAAATTTCCTTTACTTATCTAAGAACTTATTTAGTTAGTTAGCTGGATCTCAATTGCTCAGTACTAGACTATAAGCCTTACTTAATGTATGGGGACTATTGGTACTAACCAACTGCCCAGGCTGCAGTAAGTGGAGCAGGACTCGAACCCGGGACCTACTGATTGAAAGTCGCGTGCTGAAGCTACTGCACCACATCTCAACAAGAACTTATTTAGTAGATGCGAAAACGGAAGAGGGTTCAGTGGACTTTCCAAAAACAGTAGGATGTTACTGAAGGCTGAATAAAAAAAAATACAACATAATGATTGATTGATAAACCGACTAGAGTTTCACCAGAACAACTTCTTTACTGTTGTTGCTGTCATTGTTTTGGATAATTACTGTTGGGGAAAAAAACGCAGTAATGGAAAAATGCTCACTTTCTCTCTTCATGTAGTTTAATTGTTGTCTGTTCGTGCTCATCACGTAAATGCTGCAAAACAGCTTCCATATTCTCTAACTGTTGATTCAATTGTTGAATAACAGCCCGCTGATTCACTGTCTCTGCTTGAGCCTTTATAAAAAATGAAGAAAGAACAAGACAAAAAATAATTTCTGATTTAAAGAAAAAACAATGAGATAAATGAATGCTAATCAGGCAACTAACTGCCTATCTTACTCAATGCTTGACTATCTCATAACAACTGCACAAATGTCAGTCGACTGAAATTCTTTTCAACGACTGCAAACAATGGTTAGAGACGAAATTGTAAAATTTTGGATGCTCGTTCACTATTTAAGCTCATCAAGAAAAAGGACTCTAGAAGAGCTATCGTAAGTGAAACGATCTCTGAGAAGGACGGAACCATAATAAATACCCAGAAGAGATAGGAGAAATCTTGGACGGCAAGCTTTGAGGAGAGGTTAAACTGACCTACAGTTACTTAACATCTACCGTCAACCTTGATGGGATATAGACATCTGTCCTTCAAATGTAGCCGAGGTTGTAAAAGTCGTCTAGAATGTAAAACGAGGCGACGCAACACAATCTGATGGTATGACCCCAAGGTTTTGGAGAATCTTTGGCAAAAACAACTAAGGTATTAGATAGTGTGCTAGAATGCAAGATTATTTATTATTATTATCATTGTTTCCTTTAGTTCCTAGAGGAACATAGGACTTCAGCCGAACGTCTCCATCGCATTCGGTTCTCTGCCAACGTTTTCACCTGGTCCCACATCTGCTCACATGCTTTCATCTCCTCTTCACATGACCTCCTCAATGTCACCCTTGGACGACCAACTTGCCGCTTTCCGTTCGGGTTCCGAGATAGTTCTCTAAACTGCTATAGACGACTGATCATTCCACTTAATAATCAGCAGAACAAATCCTCCTGTCATCACAGAAGGATTATCTAGACTAACTAACATAATATCTATCTAGGTTTCATAGTCCAACAAAAAATGCAGCTTAGAAAAAACTAACTCGAGAAAATAAAGCAAGTCTTAGGCAACATTTCAAATTCAGCCAGTTTACTCACTTTTTTTATATCTACACTTATACGAACAAACCATTCTTAATTTATCTTTGGTAATTCCATATGAAATACGTTTGTTTGATACAACACACAGTGAAACAATAATAATAACTTCATGATGATTCGATCACAACTTACTGCTCATAATCATGTCGATATATCTATACGACTTCTCCTTTCTAAATGTTATTTTCACACATTCAGGAGAGGCTTTGGGGAGATGTGGCTGATTGGACTAAACACTCGGTTTTCAGTCGATGGGTCGTGGGTTCGAGTACCGCTCCATCCACTTTAGTATAGGCAACTGGACAGTATTATCGGCCTTCACATGATAAGTGTGTCTCTCATTCTGGTACATGACAAATCTGTTCTGGGTAGTTGAGCTTAAACAACAACTTCTATTGTAGGTATCAGGTGTTGGCTCTATGAAGAAATATTTGGCAATTCACCTCTCTCTCTCTTTCTTGTTAACTATATTAGTTTCTAATATTTTAAACCCTATCTCACCCTATTGTGTGATGAAATGCAAGTAAATGCATAGCAATGACCAAGCTTTTTTAAGGTTATTTAACTTAGCAGGGTCAACCATTCTAGACCTAACTAAATATACTGGTAACCTAAATGACCTCGACCTACTAGTTTGACCTATGTAATTAATTGACCTCAAAATTATTGGGTCCATTGGATCCGTATGTCAACAAAGTCTATCCCTATATAAAATAATTTGGGAAGACGTATTAGTATAATGATATGACTATAATCAATAAATTATGCTCGAAACGTCATCCAGTTATTGATATCGTATCACTATGTCTTATATAGAACAAACTTATGTAATATTCTTTTCAAGTATTGGTTTTGTAGGGATTTTGTTTGATTGGATGGAGGATTTCATCATGAGCTGACATCAGTTAGAGAACCACTGGAAAACCTGGGAGTACTGGATAGCTGTTTCGTCCTAGTTTGGGACTCTTCATCAGTACGCACCCACCGGGGTTCGATCGGGTCCCAGTGGCTTAATGGTCTTCGAGCTCGACTTGTGACCAGAAGGTCCTGGGTTCGAATCCCGGTGGGTGCGTACTGATGAAGAGTCCCAAACTAGGACGAAACAGCTGTCCAGTACTCCCAGGTTTTCCAGTGATGTCAGCTCATGATGAAATCCTCCATCAAATCAAACAAAATCCCTACAAAACCAATACTTGAAAATTAGCTTTTCCACAAAAAGTTGGTCTTATGTGATCGTGTATAACGTGTTTGAAGGGATACTGTAACCATGTCAGATATCACGTTCGGTTGTTCTAAAAGTGTTCTGTTGATTTTTGACACGGATGGGATATCTGTTATGGGGTGTTTACTATACCATGCGTGAAAACACCTCACGATTGCTTTTATCTTCATCCCACACATACACGCTACTTTTAAAAAATGAATTTCAGTTTGAAACCATTTTTTAAAAAGTCAGGTAAGAGGTTGGTTTCACTTTGACATACATAAGTGAAGACACGATATGATAAGAAGCTGCCAAAAATGTGCTCTAATTAAAGTTGTTATACTTAGTAACAGTATAAGAGTAAAAGACTGAACAATAATCATGGGGATTCACATTACCATACATTTACTGCCAATCTTGAACACTTAGTTGTGATACATGACATAATCATAGATACATATGCGTTGAACTGCGATCTAGTAACAAATTACCAACATTTACCTTTCAGATGTTTTTGATCTCATTGATTTAATGTTATTAAAAAGCATTAATATTATCAACACGAATTATTTCTTAACTAATATAGACATATAAATGGAGAATCTGATGAAGTTATCCAAAAGAACAATTCTTTTTCTGATGAGTGCATTTCGTCCCAATTTGGGACTCACCAATTGGATGTACCTGCATTCCCCAGTGAGTGATGGTGCCCCCACTGAGACTCAAACCCTGCAGCCATCATTTCAAACGCTATAACGTTAATCAATCAACGGGAAATGCATATTAACCTAAAGACAAATGTCCTTTTTTCACTACTAATCAGTGTTTTGAAATACTTTGAATTTGAAGGGCATAACCTGTTATATATATATATATATATATATATATATATATATATCATGTATAACCGCACTAGGACGACATAATTAAGATAGAAAATCAGTAATCACACGCACCATTTCCTTTTCCAGCGTAACCTTAGCTAAATCCGAACGTTCAATTTCACGTTCTTGTAAAAGTTGTTCAATATGCGCTTCTTTTTCTTTGATTAAACGCTTGAAAAAAAAAAGAAAGAAATAGAATTAAAAGGAAAAAATGAATGCACATAAGGAGTAATAAAAAGGACAACAATTCATAGATAACACTTAGAAATCTAAACAAAAACCAATATGACGGACAAACAGCTGTCATAAATAAATCCATCATGAGGCTGGAGAACAGTTTCTACTCGCCAACTTCTGTAAGCAGTACAGAGGAAGGAATTTACTCTGAATCTTTTTTAAAATCCATTTGGCTCACAGTTCCTAGAGTTGGGAATTAACTGATCCAGTTCACTGTACCACAATGAAGCTAAGTTACAGTATACCAAGGCGCGCTAGGTTTTGATAACCGAGGTTAGGGGTCAATCGACAAGAATCACTATCTGACCTATATTGCGTATATGTAAGCAATAATCAGCAAAGAGGCATCTAAAACCTTGAAGGGACTCATATTTCCTTTCTATGTTGAAATCTGTGAATTAACAAGGAAGTTGAAGAGTTTAATAGTAAATCACTCATGTCGCATGCTGGACCCTCTTCAGAATTCGACTACACACATGAATTAGCCATCTCACGGTAACTAATGTAGTACATGGCATTCAGCGTTCAGTAGTTTCGCGATTTGACAACAGTTTGGTGGATTGCTTGAATACCAAGCTTGTCAATTAGACAATAGATCGACACCATAAACCGATCGAAGGTTAATATCAACATTTAACCGGTGGTGGAAGACTTCGTATATCAGTAAATATCTATGAGGATTCAGAAAGTTAGTTACTGAACAACATTGGACGATGCTGAAAGTTTAAAGCCAAAAGATATGTGTAGTTTTCAAGTAAACTAGTGAATAATTTCAATCAATGATGCAACGGGCACTGCCAGTTGTGATCGACATATGTGGAGAGGTACTGATGAGACCATTACACATCATGAAATCTTTATTAGAATCGATCCATCGCAAACCAACATGGACGGGACAGTTTATCAACTTCCAGAGCTTCGTCCCACTGATCCGGAAGCAAAACCTGGTACTTACATTAAGTTCAAGGATTAGAAAAGCCTGTTCGGAAGAAATAATAGAGAAAGAATTAAATTTATTATGTGAAACCCTACTAGAGAACGGGTATCCACCAAGATTCATAGACAAAAACACGAAAGAGGAGCCTACGTCGCCAACTGTTCCTAAGAAAACTCTCTTCATGAACCTGGAATTCACAGGTGATATCGCAGCAGAAATTCTTAGAAACCGCCTTTTTAAATGTTTGAAGAAGACATTTCAAGCAGCCACCTTACGTATCACATTCTCCAGTAGACAGTTAACCAATCTAACGTTAAGGATAAGTACCGCTTTTGGCTACTTCAATGTGTATTTATCAATTTAACTGCTTGTGTGGAGCAAAGTATATCGGTCGTACGCAACGTCAAGTCCACAAACGTATTCTGGAACATTGTCCAGCTTGGTTAGCCAGAGGAGAAAAGAAGAATAGTAGCAGCTCCATCCTCGAACACCTTGTCATCTCCGGACATCGAACACCCCCGCATGAATGCTTCAAAGTGCTACACAGAGTCCTTCAATATCGTACAAAGGGACTTCCCATACGCCATCTGTACACAGCTCAATCATCAGCTATTCGGGATCTGAAACCGGACCTCTACATTCAAAAGCGCTACATACATTCACTCGCCCTACAGTGGTCAGAGTAAAGTTCTTACTATAATTTCGCTTCTTTTTATTATGTAAGTTTACCAATATTATTGTTATTACTACTATTATTTTATTATCATTATTATTCCCATCATCCATATTTTATTATCACTCTATTCTATTACTGTTTATTGAAAAAATTGCTTTTTTCATACAAATTTTATATAAAAAAACTTTATCGTCTTTGCACCAGTTCCTGTCCATTCTACACGAGCTTATTGATTAGTCATTATCTCACACTTATTACGTCATGCCAACTTCTACCTTTTTTCTAACTTCCGATTAGTCATCCTATCTAGGTTAAACCTTACATTTTTTTTCACTTGATTTGATTGGTAGTAATATTTTCCATATTTCAGGTATGAGTGATGATTCATTCCTATTGCATGTGTTGGGTGTAGATTCGATGAACAAGGATTCAGTAATCAACCTCTCTCTCCACCTACCTAGATTACTTTTTAGAATTTTAACCCTCTCCCACCCTATTGTGTGGTTGTATGCTAATGCATGCATTGCAATTGCTGAGCTTTTTTCTAAATCACTTATCTTCTCGGGGTCAACCATTCTTACCTTAGCTAAATTCTTATGTTCTGACAATCTGACTACCCCTGACCTACTAGTCTGACCTATGTAGTTGACCTCACAGTCATTGCAGGGTATTTTGTAAATTATATTATTTTGTCTAATTGGGTCAACTGGGTCCTTTAACCTACAGAGCTTGTCCCTGAGTGAGTTTGTAGGTTTAAATGTCACCCTAATTCCTGCTTTATTTAGAATCCTACGTAGTGTCTCAGATGTCCCCTCTTTATATGGTATAACTGTAGCTGACTTATATTCTCTCTTATTTATGTTATTATTACTAGTTTCACAATTCTTTTTATTTTTCTGTTGGCCTTTTTCAATCTTCCTAATGAATTTTAAAGGATAGTTATTTAACACCAACATTTCGTCCATCAGTTTCATTTGATCATTTAGGTCTTTTTTTGTGCTACTTAGTGCCATTGCTCGGTTTGTTAGACACTTAACTAAGCCTGCCTTTACCGTTAAAGGATGAGATGAATTAAAGTCTAAATATCTATTAGAATGCGTTGGTTTTCTATAAACACTAGTGTAGTTTGCCTTCTTATCCGTTTTATTTTACAATCTAACATAGCTAATTCTCCTTGCTCATTTTCGGTTTCAAATGTGTATTTTATTCCCTCTACTAGTGAGTTTATGTGTGTCAAGAAGCTAGAGATATGTTCTGTTTTTAACACTGTGAAAGTGTCATCCACATATCTCCACCATATTTTTGGAGTAGGATTAAATGTATTAAGTGCCATATTTTCCCAGCTACCCATAAATATATCTGCCACGATAGGGGATATTGGTGATCCCATTGCTACACCTTCAGTTTGTCTATATATTTTGCCTTGGAATTTAAATATAGTAGATGTAAGGCATAGCTGAATCCCTAAAATAATTTCTTCAATGGACAGCTTTGTCCTATGATTGAGTTCAGTATCCGCAGTTAGTTCTTTTTTAACTGCTTCTAAGGCCATATTGACTGGTATATTAGTGTAAAGCTCGGCAATTGCAATGCATGCATTAGCATACAACCACACAATAGGGTGGGAGAGGGTTAAAATTCTAAAAAGTAATCTAGGTAGGTGGAGAGAGAGGTTGATTACTGAATCCTTGTTCATCGAATCTACACCCAACACATGCAATAGGAATGAATCATCACTCATACCTGAAATATGGAAAATATTACTACCAATCAAATCAAGTGAAAATCAAGTGAAAAACAATGGAACTATATAAATGAATTTAGGAAGTCGTGTGATTACCTTGATATGATTATGAGCAATAAATTGTGCTCGAAACGTCATCAGTAAATATTACTGTATAACACTGTGAGACTCTATCAAAATAAAAATTTACCCATAATGGAATTACACTCTACCACAGTGCCCAAGTTTTATTCTTATATCAATAAACCTTACATTACGTAATACACTTTTCGAGGACAAATTTCACTAGTGTCTGATTGGTCGTCTTATGAATTCTTTATCAAATATAATTACGATTGTACAGCTTATGTAAATGAATCGTCGAAAAGAAAACTTTATTCGCGGTTTACGTCCTTTTCTTACAACTGCTTTACAAATATTTATATTTATACTTTCATGAAATACAATGAAATCAAACAAGAAATCTCCTGATAGTCTCTTCAACTACAAGGTCGAGAACGTTGCCTTCGCGAGTAATTTTGTTTGCATATTACACTGAAGCTGTGGCCTATTTCATCTAGACACAACTTACAGTCAATAATGAATCATGAGTATCAGATGGTTGGAGGCGATCGGTAGGAACCCTGGGACCTAGATTTCGTGCTTCTTCACACTCACCAGTCAGCAAGGCGTCTCTGTAATCTTGAAGGAACTCAAGTTCACTGCGATTCGAACTCGCGTAACTCAGTGCTATAGTCAGAAACGTTACCACTGAGCTACTCGCGCTCACGATTAATCTCCTGTAGGACTGTAAAGGATACTTTTATTGATCATCAGGTAGTAACCGATGTCATGCATCTAGCCCTTAGTTTGGTACAGACTGAATTTCATCAGTCAAGTTTGTAATGTGGTCACCAAACTAGGTAGCTCACCATGACGATGCTGTTAGATGGCTGGAAGTAATCGGAAGGAAGTCTTCGACCTAGGTTTCGTGCTTGTTGGCACTTACCAGTCAGTGAGGCGTATCTGCAATCTTGAAGGAACTCATGTCTCCTCAGAGATTCGGACCTTACTGAGTCTTCAAAGGTTTAGGGAAGAACACTTTTATAATTTTATTTATGTAACTACACATGTTGCCACTCTGACAGATTTTATTTGATAATTATATTGAGTTTGTGAGTTTAATTGCCTCTTTAATCCCTGCCCTTCTGACAATCCTATGTCAAGTTCTGAAAGTCCCTGTGTTATATGACAACACTGCGTGTATTTCAAGATATTTCTTTTCAATGTTGCTGAGTGTGTTATTGTGTATGCTATTAGTATGTATCACTAATGTCCGTTGTCCAATTTCTAGTTTTTATATATTTTTATGTACTTTTGTATACGCTTGTCGACATGATTATTATGCAAGAAGATTTGCTTTCACGTGTTTTATTTCCTAAAGTAGATTTCACATTGTAATGGTTTAACTCTTTTAACTTATTACCTGGACACAATGCTAAGTCTTTTTTTTCAGGATGACTTAATGTCCAAGTATCAGTTAGATAATATGTAGGTTTTTGGAGATATCAGTGTCCTCTTTCGCTGTAATTCTTTAATAGAACACAAAACTCTTTAACTGATGTATAAATTGGATTGCAGCCATCAAGGAATTCCTCTGATTTGAACACTTTGAATTAGTCATCTACATATCTCGACTAAATTTTCGGTGAGCGGCTGTCTAAATAGCTATCTTTTCTCAACTATCCAGAAACGCAACTCACACAATTAGCAATAATCATGACCCCCAAGACAACTCATTGCTTTTGTTTATGTAAGTCAGACACAACCGTACCACAAACATGACTTCTTCCATTGGTAGCCTATAGCATTATCCCCCCCCAACGAGCAATGCTTCCTGAATGAAGTACGATTAAGTTTGGAGAAAACTGTTTCGAAGCACGGTGACCACCACAACCAACCAAATTTTGTTCAAAGCTCTTTATGTAGGATTCATTAATACAGAGATTAACCAGTACAACAAGACGTAACATGACTTACTTGGAGTGTTAGTAAGTTTGAGGCGTTCTCCCTACGATTTGCACCATTCATCGGGGTTACAGGCTTTCGATTTCCACTTAGGCTATTACGACCCTTTTAAATTTGGGAAAACAAATTGTTGCATCAGTATTACTATTAACGTCAATATGAAAGTTGAAATGAGATAATTTAAACTCATAATCAAGTATTCTAGTAATAAATTCATATGATAATTTGATAAAAGCAAGTTAACAACCGGATATAAGTTTGTGTATTGTCATATGTACCACAAGCATATTGACACTAATTAGCTACTCTAGCATAAAAAGGTAGATCATTGGTTAAAAGTTCACTAATTCAGTAAACTGGTCAGAGAACTGAAAGAAATCCAATCGTATCAGCAGTCTGTTATCAGACGAAGAAACTTCTTTTAACTTAAACCACAACAAAATTCGGATTTTCAATACAAACGTCAAGTCAGTCAGTTCTTCTATACGGATCAGAAACTTGGCGGTTCACAAAGAATATTTCCAACAGCCTGTTGCAAACCTTTATCAACAACTGTCTTCGTTCTATACTCAAGATCAGATGGCCGGAAAGAATCACCAACAAGAAACTATGGGAACAAACAAAACAAGAACAACAATCGCCCAACAAATATGCAGGAGAAAGTGGAGATGGATTGGACACTCGCTGAGGAGGCCGTTGGGTGACATCGCGCGTCAGGCCAATGCTCGAGTGGAACTCGAAAGGGAAGCGGCGAGTGGGACGTGCAAGGGTGACATGGAGGAGATCGTGTGAAGAGAGTTGAAACAGTATGGATTAACATGGATGCAGGTGAAAAGTACAGCAGAAGACAGAAGCAAGTGGAGACGTGTAGTTGAAGCCCTATGTTCCATTAGGAACCCAAGGGAACAATAATAATAATAATACTGTGCTTGTGAATTTAACACGAACAAAGTTAGAATTCACGGTTCATTGAATTCCAGCCTAATGGACTGAATCGTCAACGAGTTTGCTCTCGTAAGCTGAAGGTCCCGGGATGCGCACTGACGAAGGGTCCCAAACTAGGACAAATTAACTTTCCAGTGCTTTTTCGTTTTCAGTGATCTCCAACTGACCTCGAGGCGTGACGAAATCTCAAAAATGAAATGAATCCAAACTCCCAAAAATTCCATAATCCAAATAAAAGTCAGTTTATCTAAATTTGAAGAATATAGTACTAATGAGTGAATGCTTTTGCACCATCACTGATGATTTTGTGTTATGTTATGAAGACTCTCCAACCCTCACCAGGCAGATAGCAATAGTCAGAACTATTAGGACTGGGCAACACCACCAACAGCAACAACAACAGACAACAATCAGCATAAATGGAAGGAACCTGAAAGAAACAACCTCCTCTACCCACCTGGGAAGCATCGTTTCAACTACAGGCGAACGGAACTGACGAGGATATCAAAGCAAGAATCGGAAAAGCAAGACAAGCTTTCATTACTCTCAAGTCTGTGTGGAGGTCAACAGCACTCAGCATGAAAATGAATATAAGATCCGGATTTTCAACTCCAATGTGAAGTCAGTGCTACTATACGGATCAGAGACTTGCACTGCGCGTCATAAAGAGCATCTCAAACAAACTACAGACCTTCATTAACAGTTGTCTTCGCTCAATACTACTCAAGATCAGATGGCCGGCAAGAAAAGATCAGCAAAAGGGATCTCTGGGAGCGAACCAACCAGGAACGGATTGTGAAACAAATAGGCAGGAAGAAATGGAGATGGATTGGCTGGCCATACTCTGAGGAAATAATCCATCAAGTGACATCACTAGACAAGCCCTTGAGTGGAACCCGAAAGGGAAGCGGCGAGTTGGTCGTCAGTGCAAGGGTGACTTGGAGGAGGTCATGTGAAGAGGAGATGAAAACGTGTGAACAGACTTAGAGCCAGGTGAAGACTCTAGCAGAGAACCGAACGCAATGGAGACGCACGGTTGAAGCCCTCTAGGAATTAAAGGAAACAATAATAATAATAATTAGGACTGACAATTCAAATGCTATTGGTTCACTACACTACAGTAAAACTGAAGTGTTAAACACATCAAAGAAATATTTCTAGATGAACAGCAAAACATATTGAGGTTTGGCGTAGAATACCAGGTAAGGAGGGGAAGTCAATCGACAAGGTTATATAAGTTACATCAACTGAGATGATTAGGATACGTGCTACACATGTCAAACCACTGCTTTCCTCATCCAGCAATGTTGGCTGACATATGATTAAGTTGGAAAGGAGTTAAGCGTAGTCGAATGACTGTTCGCTTGAACCATATAGAAATGTGTAGATTGCTTGACTGAGGTGTTTTAGACGCCAAGAACCAATGACTGGAGACTGTTTATGGTATAGCTCAAAATCGTTTATAGTAATGCAGGTCAATTCACTCACTGGTTTTGTTTCGACAATTGACAAGCTTGACTAAGTGCATCAATTTAATTGAATATGAGATTTTCCCGTCTATTGATTGATTGGACCGAAGTGTTCGGTCTCAGGCTGACATGTCGGCTTCTTGTGCAGATGCTTCGACGATGTCTGGGCATTTAATTAGAATTTAATTGGTGGATGGTGACTAGCAGTGGAATCCAGGATAACGCGCGTTTCGTCCTATTTGGGACTTGTCAGCTAGTGGATGTACCTGCATTCCCCAGTGAGTGATGATGTTCCCACCGAGGCTCGAACCCAAAGTCCATAGTTTCAAACGCCAAAGCTTTATCCAGTAGACCATCTGAGCCACGAGAACCACGTTATATGCAAAGGATCATATTAATTCAATTGAATTTGAGATTTCCCCGTCGATTGATTGGACCGAAGTGTTCGGTCTCAGGTTGACATGTCGGTTTCTTGTGCAGATGCTTCGACGAGTCCCAAATAGGACGAAATGCGCAACCTGGATTCCACTGCTAGTCACCACCCACAAATTAAGTGCATCAATGTTAACGTTAACTTGCCTAGTTAGCCATCATTTTTTTTCAGTCTAATCTCACTAAAATATGCTGCTGTTTCGGTAACTACAACAACACATACTACTAAGTGCTATTGTTCAAATTATCTGTCACGCAGAAGAAATAAAGTAACTTGATGTTATTATCTAGAGACACCTACCTGAAGTCCATTGTTACCAGGCTGTGTACGATAGGATCGTGATACTGAACTTAAATTCGATGAATAGGATAACAAAGATTCTTGACTTTGACTAGAAAATATGAAAAAAAAAAGAAGTAAATTTGTCTTTAAAAGTGTTAAGAGATATTTTGCTGCTCACAAATCAAAAGAAACGGTGTGCTATGCAGGACAATTCCTTTTTTTACAAAAATAAGATGACAATACCTACAGTTTAGTGAATTAATTCAAGCTTTCCGACTTTTAAACAGTAATCTACTTCTTTGAATACCGTCTGTCTGTCTGTCTATTTCATAGAGGATTTCATCATGAGTTGACATCAGTTAGAGAACCATTGAAAAACCTAGGAGCACTGGACAGCTATTTCGTCCTAGTTGGGACTTTCCTGCAGTACGCACCCACAGGGATTCGAACCCAGGACCTTCTGGTTACAAGGCGAGCTCGTAGACCACTGAGCCACTGGGACCCGATCCAATGGTCCTTGAATTCTAACTTCTGCCAATTCACGATATAGCGCGACCATTTCGCAATGTCTTCTTCGATGAGTTACTGCCTCATCTTCAACCTGCTGTCTGTCTATTTGTCTGTTGATAATCCCATCAAATTATTACGTTTCACACAACACCTGTAGTTGGCAAAGTTAACCTTTAAGCACCACTAACTACCAATCAGCGAATGACCTTCAACGAACCAATCACAAGAAAGAGGCGTCTTTGATTATGGAAAACATATATTTATGAGAAAAATGCATTAAAACTGTTAAATAGGGTATCTTTCTCTGACATATGATAAAAACATCTCCCAGTTTAGCATAGGAGTATCAATTGAAAAGTTACACCACATTCCGTACATATATTCATCCAAATGACTATAAATGACATCCTTTTGAGATCCATTTATAGCCTTAATCCTGTTTATTAAACCTTCTCCAAAAGCCTTCGACAGAATTGGTGTGCCCCCCTGTAATGGGATCCACAAAATCATTAGAATGGTTAACTGTGCTGTGAATATATCCAAGGGATGACAGGGGAGTTATAACCTTTCCACTTATCGACGTGTATTATAGATCCCTGTCTCTATAGTACTGGTACCACTGAACTGTTGGTACGAGGCTATTTTCAGTTTCAGCAGCGGCACCTCTCACAGGCTGTTTTAAAACCCAGTAATTACAAATATACAAAATCTGGGTTGTTAAGGACAGATGGGACCTGGCAAAAAATGTTCCTACGAAATATCAGAATCATCAGCTTACCTTCGCTGACACTAACTCGTCTCAAACAAATTGCACAACGATGGACATATACATCAATCGACCTGCTGAAGCTTTTTATACTCATGACACCTCAACATGAACAAATCCTTTCCTTCCTAAGCAATACTGGAAAACCTTATCCTCATCAAATTGCAAGCGCAACTGCGTTACAGCAGGCATTTAACTCGAATCAAGCGGAATAGAACCTTTAACTCACACGGATGAAACTCATTGGACCACTCAAGGTCATTCGCTGATTGGTAGTTAGTGGTGCTTAAAGTTTAACTTGGCCCTAATGTGAAGTTACCGAAAGAAAGAAATTCTCTAAATAAATCGATATATTTACGACACGTACACGTGTAGTAATGAAATTCAACATTCTTGTGCACAAGTTCACGTATTGTGGGTTATAACACATAGATAATGTTTCATTTCTTTTTATGCTAATATTCATCTAAATATGAGGTGACTCTCGTGACTCAATAACCTAATGGATAAGGCTTTGGCATTTGAAAAGATGACTGCTAGGTGTTAGTCTCACTCAATTGGGAGCAGGAAATACAGCCAGCTGATGATGAGTCTCGAATAGGACGAAACACTCGACCACTGCTAGCCACCATAATGGCAGTAACCTAGAGTTAGCAATCACAGTAATGTCGAGGCATCTGTTCAAGCTACCTATAATATCACAGTGAGACTTATCAATTCGATTTATACATCAAAAGGGCAAGTACAAGTATCAACAAATAACTTTAGGTGAGCAATATTGAGGTTAGGCAACGGTCGAGTGCTAGGTAAGGAGGGGAAATCAGTCGACGAGGCTGTAAAATTACATCGACTGAGATGGTTAGGACATGTGTTACGTATGCCTAGTCATCGCCTTCCTCAACCGACGGGCAATGTTAGCTGACATAGGATCAGGTTGGAAAAGAACCAGTGGTGGTCAAACCAAAACATGGCTTCATCAGTCAATGAAATCCACAACAGTTAGTTTAAGCCACGTAGGAAGGTGTAGACTTCCTGACTGGTTGGGGTCCTCGGGACGGTAAAAACCAATGGTTGGAAACAATTGGTGACATGGCTCAAAATCGTTCTCAATGGCTAGTGCAGATGCATCCACTCCTTGTGACTTATGATTTCCAATGAAACTGTTTTGTTCTTCGTTATTACTATTCCTTTGTCTCACACCTCTGTTTACTGTCTATATCATTATGCATTTCTCCTACTTTCTTCTCTTGCTTTGTGTGCTACATGAAGGGAGTGTGGCGACTTGAACTTCCGCACATATGTGCAAAGTTCTATGTCGAAAACAGACAGACAGACTTTAGATGGAATAGGATTGAAATTTATAATAGAATAGAAGTCAAGACTCATAATTTACACCTCAGACAACACGCTATACGTATGAAAACCAAAAGGTATCAAGATTTCAATCGCAATATTAACATCTTCCTGTTGAGGTGGAGTGTTACTAAGTATGTCAAAAACAGCAAGTTAAAAAAACCAGTACAATAATAAAAAGAAGTCATAGTAGAGCGTTACGTAATAGTGCCCTTTAGAAATCATTTACGATAGAAATTATTGACCGAATCAAAAAAAATATCTAATAACTACAGGTAATGCAATACGCATTAAAATACCACACATTTGGCATAATAACAATGATGATAAAACGAGGGTAGGATGCATTTAATGACGATGAAACACGAGAAAAATAAAAACATTAGACCGATATGAGATCGATATAAGTCACTCATAAATATACATACGAAAGAAATCACAGTAAGCATTTGAATTTATACATTACCAGTGCAAGCATAACTATCACAACAATGTCCTTTGCAGTGGAATGCTAAACAGCAGGTTTTTTTCAGAGCAAATGCTAGTCACTATTGTTTCTGAATTCCACTTAGTCTACACTGCATAGTGAAACAGACATATCAGAAGAACCTGGATACAACTAACTAAACCATAGATTTGGTGACGAGCCCACATCACCAAGAAAATCATGAGAAACAAAAAGTATTTGGTAGTTATTTTCAAGAGGTTTAGGCTCATCAGAGGAAAGAACGCATGACCCAACGATTCCAAGCCTGCAGGTTTCCAGACTAACAAATTCCCAGCTACTTAGTAGGTAGAAATTTAATGATCAACGGCGGTATAGTGCAACCTCTAACTAGCAACACACGTTAGTGACTATCTCTACCCTCCGCTTAGTCGACTGCTATAGACTTCTTATCAGAAATTCAAGAAATCTGGCTTGAAACTGGTGATGTATGACGACCAATGAACTGACACAAAGTTCACTTTGGTAATTCGCTCGCCTTAAAACCTGACATTCCTGCAGTCGGTCCCTCAGAAAGTCATAATTAAATATTGCTCAAGATTGGCAAACCAGCACACAAACTTCCCAGTGCTACTAGGTTTCACATGACATTCTAAAAGTTATGCTGGATTGCGACAAAATATTTCTGAAAGTCAAACATATCCACTAATCACCCGGAATTTTAACAGTTTGTATGATACAAGGCACAACTGCTGGAAGCTTTGTTTGCTTATGAAAGTTTGTGGGTAGTTATAACCTCCTGGTTGCCCACACTGTGGAAGTTCATTTCTATTCGAGACACGTGAAACAGCAGCAGCATGAGTGTTACGCGAGCACAGAGCCCAAGGAACAACTGCTCGAGACAGTGTAAAAAAGGTCTGTTTGAAGTTAGTTTTGGAGTGGTCACTGTACTAAAATCTTACCACTGGCCACAGACCGCTGCAAGGTAAGTCCGGATGTATAATTTCCCGGGTCGGCCTTTTCTGACCTCACCTATCCAAAGCACAGGTGCAACATAGCTGACATGTTGGTCATCTAAGGGAAACACCTTAATGCCGTTATATTCCCTTTTCGGCAGCAGTAGGACTTCGCTCACAGACCCCCAACATAGTAGTAACGAATTACAGTATGATGATAACTGCTATCAAGACGACCTTTCTAACATGATACAACCTAAAGAAACACTAATTCTAGCTAATGTAGCTCATCTGGCAAACGTAATATGCAAGTACAACCACCACGTCAATGCAGCAGCCTATCAGTTGGGACACGGCACAAATTTTCTCATGTACCTAATAAAAATTTCGAGAAAATCGGACTGACTAGCTTAAAATGCATCCCATATATATATATATATATATATATATATATATATGAAAATAACTGAGTATTTGCTCATATCTCTCTGTTATTCCAATGGCATTTCCACTACATGTCTTTTCAGTCCTTTGCACCCCAAGTGGAACGTAAGGTTTCAGGCTTGAAGCCTTGGAATTTCAATAGACGTGATGATGTCATTTTTACGGTGTGCAACTCCTAGCCCCATACACAACCTTCCCGATTTTACGCGCCTACTATCGATCAGTAAACTGGAAGAAGTTTAGGAGTGCGTCAGTGGCTAGAAATCGAACTGCAGACCACGTGTAGCCTGCTGCTTAGCAAGCATTCTACCACTAAACCAGTACACAGTAAGTAATAATAATAACAGAATGAGAAACACAGCACATTGATTTTAGATTTCAATTGCAGGATATCTTATAGATAGATATATTACACATACATAGTTCAACATTGTTCCATTTTAATTTTACATTTACATTTTTCCATTCAAAATCTCTAATTAAAATCTACACTAATTTTTAAAAAAAAGTCAGTTAAATAAAAGATCCTATCGACCAGTAAATAAATAATGGTAATAACAACAAAAAGAGACATTTCGGTAGCTTTTTTTTCTTCTTAAATCTATAGGTCACTACTACTACTAAATGTCATCGTCAACATACAATGAAAGGAAGTGAATGCAAAAACAAAGAAAAGCTGGTTTAGAAAGCAAGTTAAAGAAGAAAAGTGCAAGTGTATACACAAGAGTGAATATACACACAGAGTTGTAAGAACAATGCAGTTGTTTATTGTAATCAGCTAAAAAATAATTAAAGATATGTATAATGATATGTACTAAGATGAAAATAATGTCATATGTAAGCGAGAGCAGCGGGAGGTGAAAGGGGACAAAGAAAAGAATCAAGAAGAAAGTTTATAAAAAGAAAAAGATAGTTAGCATAGCTTGAAGAAGAAAACAACTCCAAAGTAAATATAATTGACAGTGAGGTAGTGAAGCCTACCACATGTTAAGGATTAATGATACTATATAGTTGCCAATAAATCTCAAAAGTAGGCAAAGCGTTCAGAGATACAACTCGCTGTCGTTAGACGTAAGATATTTCATTACTAATGAATTGCAGAGCCCGAATAGCTCAGTGGTAACGTCTATGACTGCAGCCACACTGGGTGACGCGCGCTCGAATCTCAGAAGGGACATGAGTACCTTCCAGGGTGCCAAGAAGCACAAAACCTAAGTGCGAGGCTTCCTGCCGATTACCTCCAGTCAACAATTCAAAGTACACCGTGATGGCGAACCATCTAGAATGCTGGCCACATTGCAAACTTGATTGATCGAATTCAGTGTGTACAAAAAAGGACTAGACACACTAAACTAGTCACTGACTAGTGTCCAATCAAAGTATAAGTTTGTGCATCGGTGGCTTATCGGTAGAATGCTCCCCAACCACGTATGTTGTTCGGGCTTCGATCCCCACCAGACACACTCTTAAACCTCACTAAGCCAGTAGTAAGACCAGTAAAGAGGGAAGGTTGGGCGTGAGGCTAACAACTCCACTCTAGGTTTCGTGCTAGGTCCAAAGCTTCCTGCCGATTGCCTCCAACCATCTAGTATCCTGCTGAATATCATTATATTTCATTCAACAATTTTTTTCGTGAATATAATGCATTATTTACCTGGTTTCACTGTATTGCTCTGACTCAGTATACCAAGACGTTTGGCACATATGCACTTGTTGGGTGTAGAAAGATTAATTTCGCCCAAAAAGGGCTTAAAATCACTTCCGATTAGATCATGAAAAACAAAAGAAGTATGAGATGGTTGGAGGCGATGGGCAGGAAGCCTTGCACTTAGGTTTCGTGCTTCTTAGCACTCACCAGTCAGTCAGTCAGCAAGGCGTATCCGCAATCTTCAAGGAACACATATCCCCCCCCCCAACTGAGATTCGGACCCACGTCACCCAGTGTGGCTGCAGTGAGAGACGTTACAACTGAGCTATTTGGGCTTGCGAATGACTGATAGAATTCAGTCTGCAGCAAACAAAGGCCTAGACGCATGACACTAGTTAGTGTCCAATCAAAGTACAGTAGAAGTATTACTCAACAGACACTTGCATTTCCATGCAGTTGACAGTGAGTCACACTTATTGTGTGTGGAGACTAGGGGTACTACCCAACTGCCCAAAAGTAAATAAGTGTTGAATGAAATTAAAGAAAATACTTTACTGGATAGCGTACGGTGAAAAACTCATAGACAAAACAATAAGAAACAAAATCTAACCAATAGCTTTCTAAGATATGAAGAAAAAACTTCTCAATCTGAAGATACCATTGTCGATAATAAACCATTGCCTGACAAATATTTACTTCGAAGCAGTATCTCTGAAGAATCAGTATCAGCTTGAGAACTCCCAAGTCTCAGACTATGGAGAACACACGACAGTGTACATGACAACTACTATGTCTATTGGTAAGAACGTCACTACTTAGCCATTGGATCACAATTCAGCTCAGTAGTTAATCGTTTTCCTAATTTGCACAGGATCTATGATATGGCAAAAACAGTATCATAAGTGACTAACTGTTGTCACATGTAACCCCTGTGTAGGTAGGTAGGTGGTTCAATAGTAGAATGCCCACCAACCAGGTTGCATGCGGTCCGAATTCAGATCCTGGCCAACAAACGCACTCCTGAACCTTGCCTAGCCAGAATAAAGCCCGAAAAAGAGGGAAAGGTTGAACGTGAACAGCCTAACAACCCAATCCCGTAGAAAAACAAACCTCGACTCAGAACACAAAAGAATGAAAAAGCATGTGATTCCCGTGGACTTAAAGCAATGAGCTGACGACTCAAAAACTAGAACGCTACAGCTATCCTGTGCTTTCCAGCTTTCTGCTATCTTCCAAAGAAGATTGTTCCTGGAGTAAGGTTCGAAACTGTGACCCAATGGATGGAAGTCAAGTGCCTAGATCAATGAAACGCAGTTTCTGAACTATACCAGCAAACAGATCATTATCACATATGAAGAGACATGAATTAAGAAGAAAAAGATAAATAAGATCTTGTGTAAGTTGACAACTGTTAGCAACAGATAAATACCAATCACTATATAGAAACTTAAATTAACAACTATATAATAAACCTATTTTTGTATTTTTTTCTCCAGGTAACTGCTAAAGAACCATTTCCCATTAACTGAAGAAATATACCAACAAAATACTCACCGAGTTTGACCATTTTTTGAAACATTGAAACCAGAAGTACGACTTTCATCCTTACTAGTACCAGCCCGTACAACACGATTAGCAGCGGCAAATAATCCGTAATTTGGTTTACAAGTGAAATATCTATACAAAAGAAATAATAAATTAAAGGCATAAAGATTTATTTTGAAAAAAAACTGTTTCACAAATGAAACGTGGTGAATTCCAGGATATTTGTTTGTGTCTGCTAAGCTGTATAAAATGACCTGAGTGATTTTGTAAGAATAACTCGAAGAATCCGGGTATCAATGAAAATAAGGCGAAAATATGCAACAAAAATCACCGATTTAATTTCAACTGTTAGATTTCGTCACGAACCAAAATCAATTTAAAGATCATTAAAAACCAAGGATCACTGGAGAGCTGTTTCACCCTAGTTCGGGATTCTTCACCAGTGCACACTCACGACCCCACCAGGGATACTAGGTGGATGTCCTGGAGCTGTAGGGAGAAGTCATGACCAGTGGAGTTCATCATATCGAAATGGGGTGGATGCTAATCGAAGGCATTGGTGAGGATAGCGCTATATCACGAATTAACAAAGAATTCATAGGCTAATTGAATTCCGGCCCAAGTGGTTGAACGGTCAATGAGCTTGGTTTCGCAACATGAAGCCCCCGGGTTCGATCACTGGCGATATCGTGGGTGCGTAATACTGAAGAGCTACAAACTAGGGAGAAATAGCTGTCCAGTACTCCCTGGTTTTTAGTGATCTGTAATTGATGTTGACTTGTTGTAACGACAGAAGGCAAGGGTCAGGCAACAGATCATTTATTAAGGAAATCAAAGCATATTTATATATTTTCATGTACACTACTATGGATATTTAAGCACACAGACACAGTCTTCCGATTGGTTGTTTCTCACGTAAAGTTATTCTTTCATCTATTTGTGACTGTTTCTTGAATGTCAAATCCTCTATATGTTAACTGCATCCGCCTACGCAAAGTCTGCTGTGGTCGGTTTTGAATCAATCTTTGTTCACATTTTCTCACGACAAATCTTGGGAACGTAAATATTGACGTAAATTACTGTCTACCAATTTGGCTAGTAGACAGCTCTCACCACATTGTAACGAAGTCTACATTGAAATCTATGCTGACACGTGAAATGTGATTGAAGCCTTAATGCCTCTAAACTGCTACCTTAGAAATGCACACATAAGATTTTTAAAGTGAATAAAATACACGGAGCTTTTCGCATATTAAAAGTTTTTAAGCTAGTTAACAATATCCTTAGAGGCTCCTAGTTTGAAACCGAAAGTAAGATAAACCTAGCATAAATTTACATTAATCCGAGCCGTCATATAATCATAATATTACAGAGAAGTGAAATAGTTCCACAAGTACGGTACCAAATTGCATCGCATCTTTACTAGTCACAAGTATTACGCCTAAGCTTGCACAAGACTCTGCAACTTGTTTTTTTATTATAGCTTGATTCCACACCGTATTTTCGGTACAAATATGGAATTTTCAGCATGTGATATCGGTAGCCCAAATTTCGCAGGCCGACCAATTGATATCAGGTGTGCGTCAGCAGGGGATCGAACCCCGGACCATGTACATGGTAGGGGAGAGTCCTAACCACTGTGCCACGGACGCACATGCATGTTTCACTAACAAATATCACTCACAATGGAATTTGATTTACCATGTCTAGGTGGTTAAAACTGAGTAGAAAACAGGATGACATAAGATATGATATTCGAAAGAGCCTTTACAATTCCACAATAGATTTAGTGATAGGAGAAATATGAGTACTCTCCTATGGTTGTAATTGATTTCTTAAATATATCTGATTAGGTTTTGAACCACTGAGTCATATGATTGCTCAGACTTTATCTAGGGAGTAATGATTAAACTAGAGGATTCTAACTCAACACGACTATCTTTTATCTTATTGTACTATGTCATGGGCTTATTACCTCTGTGCACTATCCAACTAATCTAAAGGTTAGAAAATAGTGAACCGTATAGAAACCACTGGAATGATATTCAATGCACATGTTCGAACCAACGAATCCGGCATTCAAAGGTGATAATCATCGGCAGATCAACCCATCTTATCCAAACATTAGCCATGAGACTTAAGAATTACTAATATTATGTGACCACCTTACCCCAACAGTTCTAAGGAGAGAGCGATAATCAAACATCACGCACATCCTCAGTTCGGCAAAAACACGCCTTACAGGTTAAAAGCATGACTTTGTACACCGAAGTGTTGTGAATGCGATCCTACACAACCTGAGTAACAGAAGAGTTGGGTGTCAACCCCTCTCTTACCAGCACCTACACAGACAAAAACTTTTCCACTACTTCTAATGACTCACCTTGTGAGGGTGGGTGGGGACGCAGGCTCTTTGTGACTTTGCAATAATCTTTACATTTAAGAGACGCGAAGCACATACCACACTTGAAAATATTGATTGCTAACTGGGCAGCGCGTATATCATTGCACAGTAGGACGACATTATTTGCATGCTCAAAGTCAAATAATCTTTTCGCTTAACAGACCTACACCGCCGCCACCACGAACATCCTTCGCAACTACCTAGAGAATATCTTCGATGGAAGTGCTAAAGCGAAACTCTGTAATCAAGCAACGCTGTCAAGCCCCACTGGCATTTGAGAATAGTGTATTCCCTAATTCTACTTGGGAATAGTTTTCAAAATCTCAACTAACTTCTCAAGATACCACACTCTAAAAGACTAAATGGATCATGTTCAACGGAATAAAGGCAACTACAATATCGAGAAATACAACGATTCTTGGCTTGTGTTGTGTCGGAAATTATTCTATCAAGTGGTGAAGGCTCAACATTTGACTATGGTCTAAAAAACCCAGCTTATTCATCACGGATCGTTTTTTACACTTCGTGAAGTCTGCAAAGTACGATAACAGCCGTGATGTGCGACATGACTGGTAGAAGATTAATACCAAGCATTCTGAAGGCAACTAACTAACAACTCGAAACAGTACGGATAGAATAAGACTTCAAAAAACGGCAAACGGCTGATGCAAGTGACGATACCAGAAAAGGTAAAGGTTATAAAAATAAAACAGAACGGACTATATATATATATATATATATATATATATATATATATATGTAGATATGATCATGGTAGTTATCTGTGATAGTGTACATGCGAATAGAATCTTCCATTGACTGTTGTTCCATGATTTGTATGAGGGTCGAGATACTACCGGGACGCCCAGAACAAGCCAGTGGTTGTATTAAGGGACTACTGTCAAAGCCTTTGTCATGAAGTCTGATCCATAAAGTAGTAGAGCAGCACCAGGAGATGCCTCCCTATGGCTGCCGGTAACCAAAACAGATTCGTACGCCATTCGATCCCCTTAGATTCTGCAACCCATTTGCGTCACAGGTCTAGAGCCAGCGTTTCCCAGCTCCCCTAGGTCGACATCCATATCTAACAGTCCGGTGACAAAGTGCCGAACGTTCGCATTCGCCCAATCACTTTTCTGAGAACACTACAATTTCTAAGAAAATATTCCGTCTTGCCTTCTACATTAAGAAGTTAAAACATTCTGGTATTACCCAACCCCTACTCCTACAATTCGTTAATTCTCGCATCCTGCCTATTATTCTCTATTGTTCCCCCTTAGTTTTTCCTGGGCTACTGAAGAAAGACTATAACATATTACGCAGGATGTTAAATGTTGTCAGCAGAGTAAGCAACGTGCCACTTAACCAGCTTGTTAATATTTTGGTTGACAGGCACATGGACTCATGTGAAAAATGGGCCAAGTCCATTTTATCTAACTCACACCACCCTCTTCACTCACAACTCTCCCCTTGCATCTCATCAGGTAAAACCAGAAGCCAATATAGAAAACTATATGCTCGCACCAGCAAGTACAAAAACTCAACCATACCCTACTTAGCTCGCGTTCTGTGTGATAAAGAAAGCATTAGGCGTGACACCTATAATTCATTAAATAGTCATTAGTACAACTGGATCTCATCTTTCCAACCCACTTCATCAATAGGTTCAACATTTCCTTTCTTTCTGTTCCTTTTCTCTCTCTTCTTTTTCCGTTATGTGCTGCTTTGTCTCTTTCTTTCGCTTACGCCAGTTAATAAGACAGCTCCCACTTTTCTAACACCTTCAAACACTGTTTCAGCTTTACCTTTGCTACTGAACATGCCAATGTATTGTTGTAATAATGAACTGTGGTTTCCTCAATCTATGTAGAATTCTATTTATTGACAATGTACTAACTGGATGCAATACTGTAGTAAAAATGCTGAGAATTCCATTCTGTATCACAAGTACTGTTTTGGAATAAAGCAAATTATTATTATTATTATTATTACATGAAGCTAGTAGATAGAACTTATCCAGCAGATGCGCGAAACGTGTGGCCACATGAGAACATTTTGAGAGGAAGATCGGAGACTACCCACCCTCGGGGTGCAACTTATAAATAAACGCATAGATTTACAGAAACAAATACTAATAGGGAATGGTTAACGGTCAAAGGTAAGACAAAGACATCTTATACATCTTCGCTTCGCAGAAGCCATTGCTATCAAGAGATTTCGACCAGACCTTTGTATACAGAAAGATAGTGTGATTAATCTTTCACTACCTTGGTAACCCTAACTCTATTTTATTTTGTTTTGCCTTTCTGTCAGTATGCCTGTGTGTTTGTCTTGTTACGTAACATTCTATTCAATTTTGACCTTCAAGTTCTAAATCTACTTAATTGTTTGTGTGTTTAAGTTATAAATGTTACTTCCCTATTCACCCCCACCCTCTTAAACTCTCCACCACAAGATGTGTAAATTTACTTTGTTCTCTGACCCTGACCCTGTAATATTCCTCTAACCAATCTGTGTTGTTTTCCAATAGAAATCTGAACTCTTACCCCTCTTATCCAATCCCACTATATATAATTAGTTGTTTTTTGACACCGAATAATCTGTCTACCTACATCAATTTCTGCAATTATATTCCTTATGCCTTCTATCTATAACTCAAAGTATTTATGAAAAAGTATGTTCCACAACTTTCTTGAAACCTATAATTTGATTTTGTTTAGGATGTATGCAGTTGATGAGAATCCACGAAATAAAACGAGCTCGTATTATCCTGCAAATATGTTCGTTCTTTCTCTCTTCAAACTAATAAAGGGAACCGGTTGCATGAAACATCTTATACAAATGCGCTACAACACCTATTAGGTCACCTACCGTACACCGGCGACTGAACCATCATTTTTCCCGGTAGGTTCATCTAACTCAACCCCAGCCCATTCACCAACAGCGAATTCTGTTGGTCCTAAATACCTTAAGATACCGACACGGCCTCCAGAAACTTGCACAAGATCACCAATTTGGAGACCACATTGTCCTGGCGGAATTATATGGGAATTTACTGCCGAATGTCGAGACGAACAAACACTACCGGCATCGGCAATACTATCCTGCTTCGACAAACCAATTGATAATCTATCATCATTATTGGTTGTTGTTTCCATCTAAAAGGTAATCAATAGAAAATAAGGTAAATTTAACATTGAGTAATAGCACAATACATAAACGTCAAATTTTTAAATATATGCGGGATAGAAACTTTCAGTAGAGCTTATGAATTTATCTGATATCTGAAATAAGCATCTTTAAAATAATTAGCACTTTTGAGATCACAAAAGGAAGAGAAAAATATGTTAGTCCATTGTGAGCTTTAAGAACTGAAAAAGTGATATTCCAAAGCTGACTGATCAATACCTCTTATTACTTTCACTTTATGTTATGAATTTGAATACAACCCCAACCACCAACATTTCAGTGACGGACTAACATCACTAATCTTTGAATAGCAAATGTGACCGGAGGCTTATAACTCTGTGAAGCGTTTACATTCTGTTATGGTACTCAATGTTCACTATCCCATCAGTAGCCAGTGTTAAGTTTGCACTTACTATTACTTTGAAATATAAGGTGGAAAAGTCAGTTTATTGATCATAAAATAGGACAGCATATACTGAACATGCCAATGAATAAAGAAAAAGTATGGTGAAACTACGGGCTTTCTGGTACTACACTGAGAAAAAGACTGTAAAATAAGATATTGAGGTGTACAGTAATGACATTCAAATCTAAAAATATGTATTCAGATGAATGTACATAAATAAATACATAACATCCACAGATCTTTCAGTGCTTTCACTGATAACGAGCCACACCTGTTATGTGAAAGCTGATAATATTTCTTGATTGGCTAAACCTCGACAAGGAGGTTCGGGTTCGAACATATAACCCATTGGCCTAATCCACAATGAGCTACAGACACAGTTGAATGTAAAAAACATATACTATCTTCACACTTATTTTAAGCGGTTGTGACTAACTTCATCATTTTAAACGCTAAGGTTCAAGCGACAGAATCAACCAAATCCCATTTCATTGCATTTAGTATCTATAAATGCATTTATAAAACTGTTCAATTTTAATTCCTTTATGTGTGTTTAGCTGAGGCGAATATGTCATGTGTTTGCAGTTATGCCACATCAATATAACTTATAACTCGTCTACAATAAATAAGATTATCTGAAGATTAACACGTATACATATGAGAGAATCAATATGGTTACTGATGATAAGCCATGTAATGTGAAAAATTGAAATCTTGACACATCTAGAATTTCAGGTCACAAATAGCTACAAAGAATATCTCACCTAATAGGCACCTGTCCTTCAGGCCCAAAAAGTAACTCAGGTGCCATACATGTGTCACAGTCCCTTCCTTGTGGAAACTAGACATCGCTGGCCTTGCGAGGTGTATACAGAGCCCTGCTGCGCTCCACTAGCATGTCCCCTGGTGAACCTAACGAAACTGTCATGAGGAAACGATGAAACAGCATAAGACCAAACCCACAAAAAAGTTTTCAGACAAAAAAAACGAGTCACCAGAAGTGATTACGCCTTCGAATACAACTTCTGAATAAGATGGATGTACTAGCATCATAACAAGGCGGTATCAAAATCGTCAAATGAGTTTATGTTGTGTCAGTTATATCCCTAGCCCTAGTACACTAATCCGCCCTGTCCTACGACTCCACTAGTGGGAATTGCCCCCCAGCAAGCCTACCAGGAGAATAACTCATGAGACACTGAAGACATACAACCATCTCCAAACCGGATGTTCTGCACGCTAGCCCCTAAAGCACCACGACATAAGTAGCAGGCAATCCTAACACGGTTTGAAGGACGATTATGCTAGCTCTATCCTCAAATACACTTAGACAACCTCAGTAGTGAGAAAAGCCGAACCCTGAAGCAGCTTAACAGGACTATATCCAAAAATTTGTTCAAGAACGACGATCGGCAACCAGGTATTTGACACAAGACATACAATCACTAAGTGTTCTTATTCTCTTCAATGTATCGTTTTTAGCAGCAACCTACTTGAACAAATATTATTTGATCAGAAGCGGTAGACTAGCTAGTGTGGCGAGTTATGGCACATGACTATCTGCCGTGTGCGCTGTACAAGGGTAGCTATGCACCGGAAGCTCACCACCCCCATTAGGAGCAACATTAAACCGTGACAAAGAAGTTGAAGGCCTTCTGTCGCCCCCTAAAGTCCTAGAAATGCGCAAACCTTCGCACAGACAAATGTCGGGGTAAACGTCCGACTTAACATTCCCCTTCCTCATGAAGTTCCACGACCGACAACCAATAACCTTCAAGAGAAACACGCGCACGGCGTCCAGCAATGAGAGCGGCTTCCACTCTAAATAGGGTTGAGTGGGTGGGGGTTGAGACAAGATTCAAACACCCATTTTGTGGCACTGTGCAGAAACTATGGTTTTTAGTGACCTATTCCGGTATTCAGTAGACTCACAAAAGCTCAGTGTAATACTACCATCCTCTTTCTGTCTTCAAGAGTGGGGACCGACGAAACGCTACATGTTAAAGACCTATAGTAATACTTACATTAGTCATGATAAATTGATGAATGATGAGATCGGAAATTGCCTTGACAGAACGAATGAACACCGTGAAACTCAACGTGGATTTAGGAAACGTAGGTTCTGAACAAAAAATTTACTGTCAACGTGGAATGGCCGGATGTCATCTTTGGACATGAATATTCCAATCCACGTGAACTTTATCACCTTTGCGAAGACATTTAACACCGTTGAACAAGAGGTCCTTCTCCACAAGATTGGCCAGACGGAAATCTCGTGGCTCGCCATTTACCTTTGCGAGAAGGGTTCCGGTACGAAAGTAAGTTGAGTCTGCTCGTCTAGGAGTAGCCAGAACTCAAAACGGGTCTGTTCTAGAAACCTTGACGCTTCTATCGTTCGTTAACGACCTCCCGTGTCGTCTGGGTTGCCCGATTTTTCGCCCCAAAATATGAACTTGTAGAGTTATATGTTGAAGACCCAGGCATACTGCAGGCATAAGTGAGGACTTTGGAAGAAGACACAACAGACAGGTCCAATTACACACCCATATATCACAGAGAACTTCCCACTGTGGCTCTAGTTTGTCCTGTAATCGTTCAAAGAATCTAAGTACCAGATAGAAACCATACGGATGCGTAGGCAAAGCATACGCTGATACACTTTCACGAGCCCAATTCATCGTCCTGACACCCACTTAAAGGACCACCAACCTCTGGGAAAAGGGGTGATTTAGAGGCAACTGAAATTAACAATATCACCTTAGTTACAAACTTTCTGCAACTAACTTATTCAGTTACGCGATAGCATGTCAGAATTAGCTGAATGTGCAAGATCAACAAGAACAAACAGGAGAAATATGGTAACATTTTCAGTAAACATACGAATAATGTGCAGATACAGGGCCCTTCAACCCACTTAATGGCCAAACTATCGGTTTAAATTGCCGACTCACGCGACTGTGAACTTTAATCACAATTTAAAACATTGCGGGCTAGTGAAAAACAATAAAAATCAAGCTTATATAACCAAATAGTGAGTAAAAATGTTCAGTTACTTTCGCAGGCTCCAACACATCAGTGTTTGATGCATGTCGGATATTGCCACGCTTTGAAAAAATACCATGAGAGGGTTCACACTTGAAATAAACTACACCATCAACGCTGCCATCATTTTTTCCCAACGGAGAGAACAGACTGACACCAATCCATTCACCTGCAGCAAACTGAGTTTCCCCAATAAACTCAATTTTTCCAATCCTCTGTGTGTCGGTACCAACATATACTACATCACCAATGGCAAAATTTATTTGGTTTATATCGGACTGCAGCTGGCTCATTTTAACCGCTATTTACGTGTATGGAAATGCAAATAGGAATAAAACAGCATTCATGAGAGATTAACCTTCAGGTCAATGAAATGCCCTGGGTCACACAGTGATTATTGGTGTGTTCAAACACACAGAAGAGTAAAATAATGTGTTTTGAATGTTGCAGTAGCAATTTCCACCTTTTTAACAGATTCTTCCCACCATTCTTCCTTTTATATCAACATTTAAAGGGTGATTCGTTCTGTGGCGAATTCCAATTCAAAGTTTCTGAGTTTGTTACAAAGTATATAGTATATTTATAGAAGGCCTGCATATATATAAGTGGATCCCTCCATCTTACCCTAAAAAGCTATTTGAGATATCCTGCAAGTTCGAATGCAAGCACTTTCCTGTATTGTTTCTGTTGATCATATTACGGCAGTCAATGTTGCTCTGGTGATGAGTTTACATTATTACTACTAGCAGTGGGACCACCGATATCGGCTATAATCGCAGTGTAGAACACTGAATTAGAAACAGGAAAATGAAATCAACACAATGAAGCGGTAGAATATTTAATTAATATCTGAATCTAAAAAGGGCTGTGTTCTTCTCACCTAGGTCACATAGTCAGCCGTTACTCGTATCTGCTTATCCTGTCACGAGTAACCCATGGTTAAGCCTTGCGTGACTTGAGAGATGAAGGTTTCACGCCCTCCAGGTGACTCATGGTGCTACGAAGTAGATTGCTCCCAACCAATTTCCTAAAAACTTACGCTGATTCTGTTGTTATGTCATTCTAGTGTAGATGCTGTCAGACATGATCTTCTTATTAGCTTGTCACCAACACTGAGACCACTGACTGCATGCCGTGCTGTTTGTTGAAAGGAACTCTCTTACTGGTGAATGATAACCAGAAAGAAGTTTATTCAACGAGATGGTTTTTCGTTTACGTGTACCCATCGACGGGCCATTTTTTCACTAGACCACACTTAAGCCACGTTGTCATGCCCGTCAGCTAGATTTATATTGACAGGTGATTTAGCAGTCAATTCTTTGTCATGGCCCTTAAATCGTCCTTACCCCCATATGAAAGTCCTGGTGTTAGCATTGTCTTTGATCTGTTTACCTGTGGTCTGTGAAACTATCGGACACTTCTGAATGACTCAGATAGCAAAGTAGGGCTAGTGCAGCAAGCAAATAGAACGAGTAGATGGGTTGCTTGTTTCTTACTGATAGCGCTAATCCTTTACATCTTTATCGCAGTCAGAATGGTGCATAATTTCGAAAACAATAAATTTGTCACCATGTGACTCTAGTGAGCCGTTCATGTCCAACTCCTCAGTTCGCCTCTAAAATATGTTTGATGCTAAGATTTATGTGAAAATATCAGTTTATTCTGATTTCGCCTAGTCTCCTGTCTCCTACTGTCCCCTTCACTAAGTATGAGTCGCATGTAAAAAAAAACCGATAACACTTAAAACTTATTGGGTAAAATTAGAAAGTTTGTAGCTGCTACCAATAGCTCAAAGACTTATCCTATATGAAGTTTGACAGTGATATGCGAAACCTTTGTACGAAAGTTCGTGTGAAGTTTGATAATGCTGAGAATTGAGTCGGTCCAAACACATGAGCCATCAGCATCTTTTGTCTTCCAACTGATGAAATAATAATAAATAATAAGAATGTGCAGCCACTGAAATATGCAATAATTACATTCGTGTTTCTCCAAACATTAGTTGATTAAGGCTTTTAATTTTCGATTCATGCAGTAGAGATAAACAAATTAGCCCGGGAAAATAAGTTTTTAGAAGCCTCATTATTTCTGAAAAACATTAGTCCCCATAAAACCTTACCTGAAGCAATCCGAGAGGAGGAAATGTTCAGTTCTTTCGAAAAAAATGTCAAGAATGGCCAGTCTAAATGATGGTACAGAGACGGACATGAACACGTGAGTGAATTACACAGTCTAGAGTTCACCTTTTCCGTCGTGCGAAACTGTAGTTAATTAGCTTGACTGTGGCCTAAATTCAAAGATCCTGAGATTTTGCAATCTGTAAAAGTAATAACCACTTCATTCCAAACAATAATATTCATACAGAATGGGATTCCCGGAGCATTTGCATTAGTTTAACTCCTTTTATAAATACATAAGTACATAAAATTTAAAAAGCAGTAAAATCTCTTAAAGTGAAATTTAGTGGAATATAAGGAAGGATAAAAAAAATTATACAGATTCATATAATAAGGAGAGTAGTTTCTTGTGTCCTGTGTTAAGCCCTGCAATATATATATAATTGCAGGGCTCTAATTTCTCGGGAAGAGATCAACACAAGTGAAACCTACAAAGGACAGCCAAGGGAACCCAATTACCAAAGAAGAAAGACAGATTAAACAATGGGCGGACCACTTCAAAGGACCCTTGAACTGAACACCACCTACAACCCGTCCAGAAATACCAACAACAGCACGTACACAACTGCAAGTTGACACCAATCCTCCAACGAAAACTGAAGTCTTGAATGCAATCAAGCTTCTAAAAGCTGGAAAAGCAGCTGGACCACATGGAATACCCCCTGAAGCACTGAAAGCGGACCCAGAAACGACAGCAGATATGCTGAGTCCATTATTGCAAAAGATCTGGAAAGAGGGAAAGGTGCCTACTGACTGGAGGAAAGGTTACCTCGTGAAACTACCAAAGAAGGGCGACTTAGGACTCTGCACGAACTGGCGAGGAATCATGCTCCTGTCGACGCCAAGTAAAATTCTGAGTCGCATCATCCCGGAGAGAATCAAGGACGCACTGGATACAGAACTCCGACCAGAACAAGCTGGATTCAGAAAAGGCAAATCATGTTCTGACCAAATTGCAACTCTACGCATCATTATCACAGAACTAAGCATGCAATGGCAATCAAACCTCTACATAAACTTCCTTCATAGACTTTGAGAAGGCCTTCGACAGCGCAGCGTTGACCGCGAAGTAATTTCGAAACTACTCGAGTACTGCGGCGTACCCCAAATATTCATCAACCTTATTCAACAGCTGTACGACAACGGCACATGTCAACTGATCCACAATGGAAAACTCAGCGAAGCGTTTGGAGTAAACACAGGAGTCAGACAAGGGTGCTTATTATCACCAATGATATTGATTCCTAATTGTGGTGGACTGGATTATGCGTCAGACAGTGGGAAACGAGAAGACAGGGATATCCTGGACCGATGTGAAGAATCTAGAAGACCTGGATTTCGCGCGTGGATGATTTCTGTTTGATGTCACACAAAATCGAAGACTTACAAGCGAAAACTGACAAACTGATCGAAGAAGCAGCCAGAGAAGACAGGACTCCAGATGAACATAGACAAGACGGAGGTTATGAAAATAACCAACCAACAACAACAACAGCAACATCCAGCGCCAATCATCATCGACGGGAGGGATTTGAAAGAGGTTACTTCATTCACTTATCCAGGGAGTATTGTCTCAACTACAGGCAGGTGAAGCGGACGAGGATGTCAAATCGAGAATCGGGAAGGCGAGAAACACATTCATCAACCTGAAACCAATCTGGAAATCTTCGTCACTCAACTCAGCATCAACAACAAAATTCGGATTTTCAATACAAACGTCAAGTCAGTCATTCTTTACGGATCAGAAACTTGGCGGGGTCACAAAGAATATTTCCAACAGACTGTTGCAGACCTTTATCAACAACTGTCTTCGTTCTATACTCAAGATCAGATGGCCGCCGGAAAGAATCACCAACAAGAAACTATGGGAACAAACAAAACAAGAACCAATCGCTCAACAAATATGCAGGAGAAAGTGGAGATAGATTGGACACTCACTGAGGAGGCCACTGGGTGACGTCGCGCGTCAGGCCAATGCTCGAGTGGAACCCGAAAGGGAAGCGGCGAGTGGTTCGTCGGTGCAAGGGTGACATGGAGGAGATCGTGTGAAGAGGAGTTGAAACAGTATGGATTAACATGGATGTAGGTGAAAAGTACAGCAGAAGACAGAAGCAAGTGGAGGCGTGCAGTTGCAGATAACTTTCACCACTCTAAATTCCACGCTCATTTTATTCACCCTCAGTTTGAGCCCCTTTTGTGGTGACCTCGTAAATGTGTCCTAAAGGAAGAGAGAGGAGTAAACAGGTCAATCCCCAAGTCACTCTTTAATATAAGATATGCCAAAATTAGGTCACTACTACCCCATCAGTAAGATAATAAGGTGAGATTCAAATGTTCCATACTCCTGTCATTAGGAATGTGCGAGATACCACTGGCTAATTCGGTTCCTACCCCCGGTATTCTTTCCTAGATACGTATCTCCTTCCTGAAGCGTAGATTCAACGCCTGTATAGATTCTTCTAGATGATGCCTGACACATGTTGCGTAGAATACTTGAAACACAAACTCGTCTAATCTTCCGAAAACCCTTCGAAGTGCCCGTTGCATTCGAAAAACCTTAGCTGCATCTGCATTATAATTTACGTTTCTTTTCAAGTCATGGCCGACGATAATTTCTAAGTCTTTAACATCCGTCAGTTATGTATCCCTCAAGGAGTACGATGTTTAAAACATCTGACCTCAGTGCATCACCGTACCTTCCTTGGAATTGATTTCCAGGCTCCGGAGGTTTGACCACTTCGCTAATCTGTCTAGATCACTCTGTAGTACCTACTTATCACTATTATTCACTGTTTTACAGATCTTAATATCATCCACAAATAATAATGAAGATAAAGTAAGAATTTCCAGTAGTTCATTTACATATAGTGGGAATAGCAAGGGGCCTGCTACGGTTTCCTGAACTACTCCACTCAGTGCTACTTTCCACCCTGGCTGTACGCCACTGACCCTTACCTTTTACCTTATATCCATTAGGTAGTCCTTAAACCACCCACAGGCGTTGGTCTAACCAAAAACCTCTTAGTTTACTCAGGAGACCTATATGGGATACAGCAGGTTTTTATCCCTGGCTTGAACCCAATCTTCCCTAGTTCACAGTAGGTTTGTCAAATAGGGTCGCCCAGTCTGAATCCATGCTGCTCCCCAGTCAGTAACCCATGTTTCTCCGTACGAGCTAATAAAATGATCCCTTATGATAGTTTTTA